GTCTAAAAATGCAGCTATACAACTTAAAGAATATACTATATTTTTTTACTACTAGCTCGCACATTTATCTATCATCCTGTAAAATTTGGTCTGGAGACAAACTAAATCATGAGTAAGTTGCAATAAAAACTCAAAAAGAACAATCCAATTTTGATTAAAATACTATTTACTTACTAAATGAAACAGTTAGATGAGGAGAAATAAGCATTTGAACATGGAATGTTTCTGAGTAGTACCCTTTCTTTGGTGCAAACTGATTGAATTTTAGATTAAAATCACATAAGAGACAATTTGATATGAATCTTATCTAGCAATCAGGCTATATGAAACATGTGACTCATGGGGACTAAAAAAGAAAGTGCATTCTAGAACTATCTTACTAATATTATAAATCTGAAAGTTTGTGAGTTTGTGTGTATGTTTGTGTGTGTGTTTGTGTGTGTGTTTGTGTGTGTGTTGCTCAATCACGCATAAACTACTGGACGGATTGGGCTGAAATTTGGCATGATGATAGCTCTCATTCCCGATTAACATTAAAGCATATTCTTATCTCAAAAACCTTTTCGGGCTCCACCCCAGTGGCTCTGTAGTTCCCCATGTTAATCTTATGATTTTTCATATATTTAAAAGTAATTAATGAATCTTAACAGCTGTTTCAATTAAACAAGTTGGTTCTGTTCTATGATGTTCAATAGCATAAAAGTTAAAAGGATTACCAACAGGGTGCAGCACTATTAATTTTTTTTAAATATATGACAACAGCTAATTTCCAACCAAAAGATGAGTGAGCGTAGCGAACGAACTTCAACCTGGAGGCGAGTTAGCGTAGCGAACGAGCTAACCTGAAGGCAAGTGAGCGCAGCGAACGAGCTTCAACCTAAAGGTGAGTGAGCGTAGCGAACGAACTTCAACCAGGACGTGAATGAGCCATACGAATACTTATGAAGTTAAACGGGGCGAAGCCCGCGGGTACAGCTAGTCACTCATATTCCCTGAGTAAGATGTAGCTAATTGATTGTAGTGCTGTTAAATCTGTCCTAAGCAGCATATTATAGCTTCATATTTAACGAATTTAACATGTATTTTAATTAATAATATTTATTAAAACATTATTATTGTTTTTCTATTAAAAACTTGTTAAAAGAGTTTCACAAATGGTTTTCAAACAAGGCATATTTTGTAGCGTAACAATTTTTTAGACTTTCAAAATAGATAAATTAAAAGACCCTCTAAGGTTATTTAGAATATGTACTGTATTTAAATAAAAACAAAATACAGTAGTACCTCAATAGCTTAGACTTATGGACTAAAGGGGTGTATAACTATCAAAATGTAAAATTATAGGGATTTTACTGAAGGTCAAAGTCTGACTTTGACTTACTGGGAGAAGGATGAGTTATTTATAGGTGGTGCACAATGGGGAAAACAAGAAGTGGGCTCTGGTCACTGACTGGCAAAACTTGTCAAGGACTTTTCAAAGTATACAGACTGTCCAACTATCATATTTCCTTACTCAATATGTAGTGCAGTAGAAATAGGGTTTGAGGTGGAACTAATTGCAACATAAATTATTCCAGTTAGAAATGGTAGGTAATGCACTTTTAAAAAACACACTAAAAATATACATTTGTACTGTTACGCAAAATACGGTTTTTTGGTCGCCATTTAAAAAAAGTGTAAAATTTTAAATTATTGTTAAAAAATCTGGTTTGGTATCAAATTATAGAACATTTCATGCTGGAAAAGAATATAATGGTTGAATTTAAAATATACTGTTAACGGTGATGCACTATGGGCGAAAAAAGGTGCGTTTAAAAACGTGGCATTTGAAAATTTTTTTATTTATAAGTTATTTTATACTTTAAAAATTTTTTTTCATTTTTGACCCTTTAAACGTAAAATTTCCCAATTTCTCTCTAGACCTTTTTAAAGAGCTTAAAAAACAAATAGTTAAGTATATCAAAGGGGGTTTGTACAATTATTGGTAACGGGGAAAATTCAAAAAATTGGAAATTTAAAATCCCAATGTTATTCTCATGGAGAATATGGTAAAAAAATGTAGTTTCCTTGTTTATGGATATATTTTGATAAAACTTTGAAGATTTATTTATTTTATACTAAACAATTAATATTTTACTAAAAACACACCTAATTGGTTTCCTTGTAGCAGCAAACCTTGGTACTCGTTTCGTTAAACCTAATGTTATTTATTTAATAGACTAGCAACAGAGCCCATTGTGGTTAAATTAATGCAACGGTCTCTAGTAAAATAATGGTTATGAAATCCATACACCACTTTACTCACTAATATTTGGTACATATTAAGCTCATAACATTAGAATCACACACTTAACATAAGAAACACACTTTAAACACAAATGCAAATTGTTAACAACAATATTTAATCAAAGAAAATTTAATTAAATAACAATATAACAATAAGCTGTTAAATTATCAACTTATTTTTCGTATGGTTAGATTATGCATACTGGTAAATCAATTATTGCCATCATTTTTATAATTGTTTTTTCTTTTCCGAGTCGGGTTAGCTCTTCTACAAGACCGATTTTCATAATTTTGGCCTTAAGCCGGGTTTACACTAAACCTGCTACATTGCAGATTTGTGTAACATCTAGCAATGTTATATAACATTTGCTAGAAGTAGAAAAAGTAACTTTACAAAAGTGCTATATAACACTGCTATATGTAGCAGATCCTGCTATATATAGCTAAAATTGTGCTAAATATCAAAAGAAATACGTGCTACATCTAACATTGCAATATGTAGCAATGATATACATATATTTTTCGTCTAGCATCTACTATATGTAGCGCTGAACGGTTTTGCTCAGCGATCTTTGCTTACAATGGATGGACTGGAAACGGAAAGTGGCAGTGCCTAGGATTGGGATGATATTATCGGGGCTATTGATATTATAAACTTAATTGAACTGTTCCGTGGACTACCGGCGTTGTGATCATACGTAAAACGTTTTTGAAGTTACCGTCGCCTTATTTAGCGTTTTAATTATGGATTGTCAGGGTATTCATAATCATTAAGGTCCCGTAATAAATCTGCTACACTGTACTTATTTCTCGAAGCAAGAAGCGGTCAAACCTAAATCTTGCTAAAATCTTCGCTCCTGCCTGTCTCTCTCTCTGACTTCCAAGATCACCACGATAGCTGCCACGAACAATGTCTCTTCAGAGCACATTTTGATACGGAATGCGAATGAGGTTGTGCTACATATAGCATATAGCACGAGCACCAGAATCACTAAAATTGTTTGCAAATTTTTCATACAGCAAAAGTTATAAAGCAATGTTATATAGCAAAAGTTATATAGCAGGTTTTGCTACATAGTGTAAATTCGGCTTTAAACTAAAGCTATAGACACACCATAGATTTGCTATTAAGCATCAGCACTCATTTTGACGTATATTTTGAGCTATGCACAAACTGCCTCCCTGTACATTACTTACGGGAGTTAAATTTATTTTTTTCGAGTTCGTTTGTCTTTTCTACCAGACCGATTTTCATAATTTTGGTCTTAAAGCTATGCAAGCACATATTTTCATAATTAATCTATCAAATGTATAACCCTTCAAAAACAATTAAATTGTATTTTTTTAAATTTTTACTTCAATTAAAAATGTATTCCAGCAGTTACATTATCCTATATGTTTTCATCTAAAAATCTTCAGTGAAATACCAGATTCTATTGGAATTATTGAGATTGGACGTACCTAAAGCACACTGCTAAATTATAAACGACCCAAATTGTTTAAAAATGGAGTTATCTATCATCGATTTATAGTTAAAAGATCTTACTTGCAAACTCAACAGTACCTAAGCTAATTGTCGACGTTGACGGGTTTCACCTAGCAAATCTTAAAAAATCTAACTTTTATAATTATTTGAAAATCTACACGAATTCCTTTCCAATGACCCATTAGGTTATAAAATCGGTCCAGTAGAACTCTAGATTTAGTTGTACAAAGATTTTTAAAACTGAATTACTAGATTTAATTGAAAATCAATTAAGACAAATGGAAATTCGTTTAGTCTGCAGGTTTGCTGCGGCGGGGGTGTTTTGTACTACGATCATATTTCTAAATAGTGCTTATAACCACTATTATAACATTTTTCAGCATTAAATTTCCTATAATTTGATACCCAAAAAGTTATTTTTACGAAAATTAAAATTTTTAAACTTTTTTCAAGATGGCGGCCAAAAAACGTATTTTGCGCCACAGTACGGATGTATATTTTTAGTATGTTGATTAGAAGCATACTACCTACCATTCACAGCAAGAATCATTTGTGTTGCAATTAGTTCCACCTTAAGCTATATTTTCGATTATTTCTACTGCACTAATGTTGTAATGGTACAAGTTACTAATTTACTAATTAAATTTGGTGTAATAATTATCTGTGGTAAAAGTAGGCTGTGTCAAATCTACACAATCTAAAAGAAATATTGAGAGAAACATTAGTCCCAATAGACAAAAGCCCAGTTTAGCTCTCTTATCCAAGTTTGTGCTGCTTTTAAACAATTTTGAGTCAAGCTAAACCCAATGTAATGTTAGTTAAATTAAATTGTTTACTAAGACCCAACTGTCTTGAGTTTCACCCTCAGTCAAAAATTATGCCTACCCATGGGTACAAAACCTGTTCCAAATTTTAGCAACTAACACACATTACACATTACTCACTGAGAAGAATTCACCGAGTAGTGAGTAGGCCTACTGTATGGGTGCACAATAAGCTGTTCCAGCTGCGATGCAATCCTATGGTCTACTTGTAAGCCTGGCCCTCTATTTAAAAAAGACCTACCGTACTGATTAGTGATAAATGAACCTGGACTACAGAGTCGATAGAGGAATACTTTACTTTAAGTTTACCTAGTTCATTGAATGACAAAATAAATAAAATACTAGGAGTTTTACAATCAGGAAATTTAGTACGGACTAGATCATAGAAAATATAATTTATTCAGTAATAACATGCATTGATTAAGGTATAAAGATGCATAAATTGATAATGTTTACATTGCATATGGATAATAAATACCGGTATTAATTCTACGATAAAATATAAACTCATGGAATCACTTAAGACAGTGAGCTCTCTTTTTCTGACCACATCAGTCAGACTATTTCAATACCTCTGACAGGTTAAATGGAGTGAATAGATACATGAATTAGTAATTAGGGATTCAGCTAATGCAGACAATCTCAGCATTTCAATGTACAGTATCTGAATTGAACATTCTTTGCAAAAGGCTTGTATGGAAATATTACGTTTTACATTATAACTGCTCTTAAAGAAGGTCTCAAAAATATCACTTGGTATTGTAATTTAATATGTAACAACATATTTATCTATATACCCCTGTATGTATTAAAAATCTTAAAGTTATTGTTATCTTTTAGCCTAGGCTTAGTTTCAAAGTTATAAAATTGTTCATTTTACAAGAGTAGATAAAGTTTTATAAAATGCATGACACAAGAAGAACAAATCATGTTATTTGTTATTCTTTTTATTTTAATTATATTTATTTTTTATTGCAAATTTTTCTTTCTTAAAACCTACTTATACCAACCTAACATACTTTTTACGCAGTTAAAATTACTATTTTATGTTTTTGTGAATTAAGTAAGGGATAGAATTTAAGCAAGCTTACCTGATAAAATAGAGTTACACAAGTAACAGTACACAAAACACTGATATTCCCTCTTGACATAGGAATTCTTCAGATAGGTTGAAGGGAAATGAAAAATCAACCTACTTTCTGAAGAAAATATCAGTGTTACGCTTTGTTTTGTGACCTTAAATTTATAAGCCGTTGGACTCGAATTTTCTCAGGCAAGCTAGCTGACTCTATCCCAAAAGACACTCTTAACCAGCTACTTTTTTTGGCTTTTCTCAAAAATAATCTACAGTTGTGATTTTAAACTTTGCAAGTCTTAGAGAGCAGTTTCTATATAAACTTAAAAGTAAAAATATTCAAGCTGACAGCTCGGCGATGGAAGGTGAAGCGACATGAACCCCGACAGTTCCCCAGAGCACAGATCCGCTAGGAGGCGGAAGTACTAATATCTCTGTCAAAGACGAGCTTGGAGCCATCTTAAGTGTGAATACCCTGTCAACAGACAAAACACATCATGCAATAGACAGATACCAACCTAATGCAACGAATATTTGTAATTTACAATCAACTCCTTTATGGATCAGATGGAGAATGGCAGACGCTGAGCCTAGATTACTGACGTTCCAGACTCAACTTATTCTGGGTTTCCATCTAAGTAAATCAGCTGGTTTAAAAAATTAATTGACAGGTGTACGTGTCGTTTGTAGTTGAACTTAACTATGAACTGTTTCATATGTTTTAAATTTGTTAAATTGACGGTCTCTAGATGAGGATGACTATAATAGTATGTTATTGTGCAGTCTGAAAATGGTAACAACTCAGTAGTGAAACTAGTTGCTGCAGGAAGCAATTTTAAGGATAATCATAAAGAAAGAATTTACACCATTATAATATTTATGAATAATCTGGAGGCTATATTGCTAACAAAAAGTTATGGGTCCTATATTATAGCCGTTGTACAACCCTGCAGTCAAAAATGAAATATCCATTAATTGCATCAAGCATTGATTAAAATAAAAACCATTATTTATAACAAAATATTGCATACACTTACACTCTCTGCCATGTACCCTTTTCCTCTGTTGGTTTGCTCAGTATTTTACTTTCATTGTAAAGATTTTCCTCAGTAAAATCCATCACTGATGCAACAACTCTCAAGCCTTCCAGCTCTACCATTGACCTGTAGCCTTTAGGTGTAGTGGACATATTGACTCCTTGTTTCCCTTCGATACTGTAAAACATAAAATAATTAGGTTATAATTACAAATCAAAATGGTAAATTAATACAACTTTTACCAGCTGACATATATTGTTTATACATTTATATAGACTAGAGGTCGTTTTCTATTTGTTTTGATTTTCTGTTTATATTTAGTTATTTCGCCACCAACATGACAACCCATAAGGTCCATGTAAATTTTTTTTAAATTTTTAAATTCACTTTTTGTGTTTATTTTAGAGCCTATTTTAAATTTATAAGATTCAATAAGATTCAAGCAGGGATTCTACACATCTACAGGAAAATATCTTTCTAACAGTATGCGTGGATTTTCCCTGCGATGCACACAAGCTGAGAAAAAGGTTTTTAAGAAACATGCTTGCCCATTAATATATAGGATGCCTATTAATATATAGGATCATTGACTATTGGATACAGAAGAAGACATCCCATCTATATGGATCAGCTGTCGCCAATTTTTTACTAAAAAAGAATGTAGTTGTGTAAGCCAGTCACAGATTGCGCTAGTGTCTAAAACTCTATTTTGTACCTCATTTTTTGTTACTGACATAGTTGCTGGGTCACAACAGTTGCTATAGCTCATAATAAGTCATTCCATCAGTTTGACTTGGAAAAAGCATCATGTAATCGGCAGAAATCAGTAATTTAGATCAGCGCAATCTGTAGGTGGCTCACATCAACTAAGACAAATTTTATTAAAAACCTGGCTACAACTTTAACATGGGGATGGAATGTCTAAATGCCTACTTTTAATTGTGAACATGGTATGTAGCTTATAAGTATTTTTCTCTTGTTGTCTATGCTGGTGTCTTTTTACGGGATCAATGATAAAATGATAAATGATATTTATTGGCACAAAACGAACAGAGTATTAAAGGATATTTGTACAAGTGTTTCGACAACGAAGGATTGTACGGTAGGAAGGATTCAAACACTTTAAGGGCATGCGATCCTGTTGAAATATGATTTGTGTGAATAGTTCATTTTGGTATCACATGTGTTCTGTATAAGTTAGTTGTCATGGATACCAGATGTGTTTTGTGGAAAGCTATGTTGTGGTTTTGTATTGAGTAAAACTTGTACCTAAAACACCTTTCTCTTTATCATTCTACATAATTTAAGTCCATTTACAACAGGTTATGGGCCCAGGATATTTTATTCAGTGCTTCATTTAAAGAATACCAACTTCATAAGTTTGTAACAGCAATATGATTCAAAATTCATTACCAATTGAAAGGCTTAAAGGTCGTGAGAATTTTGATACATGGAAGTTTGCAGTACAAGCTTACCTGGAAGATTTGGATCTGTGGGACTGTGTATCTGGTGTAGAACAGGATAAGAAAAAGGACACTAAATTTCGATCAAAGCTGATCTTATTGGTTGATCCGGTGAATTATGTACATATTCAAAACACAACCACCACAAAGGCAGCTTGGGACAATTTAACGAAGGCTTTTCAAGATGATGGATTAAGCAGGAGAGTTGGACTTCTCCGTATTCTAATAACTACAAAGCTGGAAGATTGTAGTTCTGTTGAGGAATACGTGAACCGCATAGTCACAACTGCTCACAAGCTTACAAATGTGGGTCTGCAGGTAACCGATGAATGGGTTGGAACAATCTTACTAGCTGGTTTACCCATCCGGTATGAACCAATGATAACGGGAATTGAATCTTCCGGCAATAAAGTCACGGCGGATGCGATAAAAACGAAGTTATTGCAAGATGTGTCTCCAGTACAACGTGATATGACTTTTGCAGGAACTGATTCTGCTTTGTATGGTTCCAGTTCAAGAGAAACAGTTCACAAAGTGTATCAAAAGAACAGAAACACGAGTAGTTCGGACAAAAATGTGAAGAAAGGTCCGAGATGTTATAAATGCAATGTTTACGGTCACATCTCGAAGAATTGTACATCTACAAGAGAAGTGGGCAAAAATAACGTAAACTCTGGCAAATCTAATACGTCACTCTTTGCTGCATTTTCAATGCAATCGGGCGTTAATAATGAGTTCTTTTTAGACAGCGGTGCATCTTGTCATTTATGTGTTGACGGTAACATGCTTCTGAACGCAAGAAAAGGCCAAGCACTAACGATCACCACAGCAAATAATGAGACAATGGTGACTGATACCGTCGGTGATTTGGAGCTTCCAATATGTATTTCTGGTGAGGTCTCAGAAGCGAATGTAAGTAATGTACATTATGTGCCTAACTTAAAAGTTAATCTTTTATCCGTGAGTCAAATTGTAAATAAAGGAAACTCTGTGGTTTTCAATAGTGATGGAGCCAAAGTTTTCAATTCAACAGGTCAGCTCATTGCTTCTGCTAGTTTAATAAACAATCTGTTTAAGTTGGATATGCCTACGAACAAATCTGCATTATCCATGCAAAGCAGCGGCTTAACGCTCTGGCATCAGCGTATGGGACATTTGAATTTCGATAGCCTTACAAGATTAATTAATGGCTTGGCTGATGATATCAACATTTCTGGTAGTAAGCCAGAAACTATTTGTGAAATCTGTATGTTAGGAAAAAGCCATCGTTTACCCTTTCCTAAGAGTGAGTCTAAAAGTAGCCATTATCTGGAGCTAGTGCATTCTGACTTGGTAGGTCCTATGGAAGTGAATAGTCTTGGTGGATCTAGGTATATTTTGACCTTTTTAGATGACTACAGTCACATGTGTTTTGTTTATTTTTTAAAATCAAAGGACGAAGTCAATGGTCACTTTAAAACGTTCAAAGAGTATGCTGAAAAACAAACTGACAAGAAGATAAAAGTGTTGCGTACAGATAATGGTACGGAGTACTGTAATCGAAACTTAACTGAGTTTTTTAAGTCATCAGGTATTGTGCATCAAACTACATGTCCTTACACACCTCAGCAAAACGGAAAGGCAGAGCGTCTCAACCGTTCCCTCCTAGAACGAGCAAGATGTTTGCTGATAGAGTCTGGGCTTCCATCTAGTTTTTGGGCTGAAGCTGTAAATACTGCTGCTTACCTTCTGAACAGATCACCATGTAGGTCCGTGGAACCAACTCCAATACAAGTGTGGTCAGGTGAGAAGCTTACTCTACAACATCTCAGAATTTTCGGTTGTAAGGCATTTGCTCACATTCCTGCCGAGAAACGTAAAAAACTTAGTCCACGATCTACTCCCTGTATATTTGTTGGTTATTGTCAGTTTAGTAAAGGATACAGGTTGTATGATCCTAAGAAGAAAATAACTTTCATATCTAGAGACGTTACCTTTTCTGAAAATCAATGGGGAAGTTCTCTATTGAAAAATGTGAATAAAGACTTAGATTTTTATGTGTTTCCCAAACCAACAGGAAGTTTGTCTGATAGTCAGGACAGTACTAGTGGTCAGACACAAACCGGTCCTGATGTGTCCAATAATGATGTGCTTCCAACAGGATCTGGTGTAAACCGAAGTAACGACGATGTTACTGATGTTACTGACATGAACATTATTCCGGACACAACAACTCGACCGCAGCGCGTCAGAAACCTCCCAGCTGCGTTGAACGATTATGTTACTTATTTCTCTGGCGAGCTATCCGATCCAATATCTCGCGAAGAAGCATTGAATAGTGAGTTCAAAGACTCTTGGAAGAATGCTATGGACCGTGAGTTTAAGTCTCAAATCGAAAATAAGACTTGGGAATTGGTCGAACCCCCAGCCTTGAGGAAACCTTTAAACTGTAAATGGGTTTTCAAATCAAAGGAAAATGAGAAGGGCCAGGTGACTTGTCATAAGGCACGACTAGTTGTTAAAGGATTCGACCAAAGGAGGGGAATAGACTATGATGAAACATTTTCACCTGTTGTGCGTTACAGTTCGATTCGGTTTCTATTAGCCCTTGCTGCTGAACACGACTTAGACATCGATCAAATGGATGCTGTTTCCGCTTTTCTGCAGGGAGAACTGGAAGAGGAGATATACATGTGCCAGCCACCTGGATATGAAGACGGGACTTCTAGAGTTTGCCGCCTTCATAAAAGTATATATGGCCTCAAGCAAGCCAGCAGGGTGTGGAACCAAAAACTTGATTCTTGTCTACAAGGTCTGGGACTGAAGCAATCAAAATTTGACCGTTGTGTTTATTATCGAATTGAAGAAGGTGTAGTGTTTTTGCTTGCAGTTTGGGTTGATGATATTTTAATATTCTCCAACAATCAGAAACTTAAACAGGAGATGAAAACTCAGATGATGAAGTCTTTTAAAATGAAAGATTTTGGTGAAGCAAAGTCTGTCTTGGGATTTCAATTGACCAGGGACAGAAAGGAGAAGAAGATATGGTTAAGCCAAGAAACGTACATCAACAAGATGCTGACACGTTTCAGAATGGACCAGTGCCACTCAGTATCAACTCCAATGAACTGCAGTGATAAATTTAGTAAAGCTCAAATGCCGAAAAGTGAAGTTGAAAGGAGAAGATGAGAAAAATTCCTTATCAAGAAGCTATTGGTAGTCTGTTGTTTGCAGCCCAAGTTTCAAGACCTGATATCGCATATGCTGTCAGTAATCTGAGTAGATTTAACAACAATCCAGGGATTGAGCATTGGACTGGCGTAAAACGAATCTTCAGATACTTAAAGGGAACTTCGTCGTGGAAGTTACAGTATGATGGTTTTAAGAGTGGAAACTTGTTTGGATACTGTGACGCTGATTGGGCAAGTGATCCAGACGAAAGAAGATCCGTCACGGGGTACCTATTTATGAAGTGCGGTGGTCCGATTTCATGGTGTACCAAACGACAACCTACTGGGGCACTCTCGACAACAGAAGCTGAGTATATGGCAATGTCTTCAGCTGCTCAAGAAGCATTATGGCTAAGAGGTTTAGCTGAAGAAATTGACCCGTCTTCAAAGAGTCTGATCCAGATATATTGTGACAACCAGGGAGCCAGGAACTTAGCCTTAAATGGAACGTACCAAGCCAGGACGAAACATATTGATGTGAGGCATCATTTCTTGAGGGAGAAGATTCAATCCAAACAGCTTTCCTTCATTTACGTTCCTACTAAAGAGATGGTTGCTGATTCTCTGACAAAGGCGCTTAACAGTGAAAAATTCAGAGACTGCATTAAGTTCCAGGGATTCCACAAATAAGGAGGGTGTTGAAATATGATTTGTGTGAATAGTTCATTTTGGTATCACATGTGTTCTGTATAAGTTAGTTGTCATGGATACCAGATGTGTTTTGTGGAAAGCTATGTTGTGGTTTTGTATTGAGTAAAACTTGTACCTAAAACACCTTTCTCTTTATCATTCTACATAATTTAAGTCCATTTACAACAGGTCCAAACCCATATGTATTGTGGGTGTGCCGATAATCAAACCCTCACCCAAGTTTGGGACGCTAACAACACCCCAAATATTTGACACTGGTGTAAAATTCACTAGGCCTATGTAATACAGTACAACTTACCCTCGTTTATCTTCTAATATGAAGTAGATTTGGAACTTTTTTGCAGGTTCTGTTGGTGAGTTTCTGAGGCATAATTCAACGTCTAAATCTTGTCCATTTCCAGAGAAATCACAAACAAATACCCTGCAAAGAATTGAATATTCAAACATTGCATGATTTAAAGACGAATGATTTAGATTGATGATACTTTTAGTGTGATTTGGGCTTTATGATGAGCTTTATCGTCTGCAAATCAAGTAACAAACTCAGTTTATTGGAGCTAATAAACATATATATATAGGCACTTAAACTTTTGCCTTGCATTTATTAATATTACGGTATAGCTTTATTACTTTTGAATACAGCCAGCTATGGTTCTTGTTTGGTAGTTAGCCTAGATGATAACAGGATTAATTCTGTGAAATTTCAGTAGCTTTTTTATGATTTGAAATTTTCTCACCTGCTAGGTCTGACCAGATCTTATCAACCTAGCTTGCCCAACCTACTCTCCATTATAGTTGGTCATTATCTACTTTTGTCCATCACTTCTTTACATTAATATGTCAAGCAACTCATTTTTGATATCTTGAACCTTGTCACCTACACTTGTTCTTGAAATTGTAAAGGAATGTAATATAGTTCTTAAATTCAAATAAATTGTCCACACACCTATGAAAGAGTTTTGAGTGGCTGTGACTCGTAGCTCTCACTCGCAAACATGATTGTTCACAGAAAGACACACAGCCAGCTGTTGTACCACAGGGCTGATAAGAGGGTTGGTACTGCTGTGCACTCAGTTGGAACCATGGAGTGTTGCCCTGGCGACAAACACAGATCAGAACTAAATGTGACTTAAATCTTCTATATAAATAAGGGTTTCCCTGTTACATCCCTTTTACAGCTGTCCTAATAGACCAATTTTTACGGTTGAGGTGTCATTTTGAAGCTTATGATCTAGCGAGCCTGCGAATGGTAATTAGAAAGGTAATTGTCTTCAGTGCTTCGTCACCCTGGTATTTAATTTATTTCCAGAGTACATTTCAATGATCCAGTTATGCTGACCAACTTTCTTTATAGCGGGTTAAATGTGAATTGTAACTTAACAGCTGTTCCTCCAGTAGAATTTTTAACCACAGTCAGACTGTAAACAAGAGACTTTTAGGTTAAAACAGAAACTTTGCACATAAATGAATTAAAAAAAAAACGAGGTTTTAGTGTAGTAATAATCAAATATGTGATTGTTTTTTTTTTTAATCTCGTCTCATAAATGTCTTGAAGCAAAGTCAATCTCGCAGGAACAAAAATTTTTTTTAATACTAGCAAATTTCTCAAAAAATTGAGACCCGTCCATCTCTAGTATCTTTAACCCTTTTTTTGGAAACGACAAACTCAGGTTTTAAATGTTTTGTTGCAAACTCAGGTGTAATCACAGCTTTACACACAGTTCAAAGCCTGCTTATACTGTAGAACTAAAATATCTCATTCAACATACTCACATTCATAACTATTCCTTGACAAAAGTTTGTGTGAAATGGCAAATTCGCTGGTCCATGGACAAACAAAAAACGTGAGAGTTTGTTCCAAAAGCTTGTTTCCCTCTCAATGAATAGTTCTGGAGAAGCGGCTTCAAAAGTCCATCCTGTGGCAAAAATTGCTACAGACATGTTCATACTACGAAGGAGACCCAAGGCCTGAAAATAGCAGTTTTGATACTACTAATAGCATTTTGGTTAAATATGGTTGGCACCAATAAAAGGTTATACAGGGTTATTACAAGTGGTGTTCTTGATTTTTATGATAGACTAAGCATTACTGGGTTGATTTGTTTTAAGAATATCTAAGTTGGTACCATTGGAAAGAAAAACTCATTAAGTGTCATTTATATTGGTTTGGGTGCATATCAGCTGTTTGTCAAGTAAATTGTTGTAAGTGTTGAATAATGGCTGAATTTGAAACCGGAAAGCTTTTTGTTTTTGGGATACCACATTAACCAATCTGTTTTTAGTGTGCAACGACACTTTAGAACCAGGTTTAATGAAGATCCTCCTAGTAATGTGAACAGGCATAATGTCAGAATATGGGGCTGAGAGAGCCCACACGCTTACATTGAGCACGTACATGAAAGTTACTGTGTTTTGTGCTGTCGCTTACAACAAAGTAAATAAATAAATAAAGTGTTCAGACCTTTTTTCTTCATTGAAAAAAAAAGGGTAAATGCGAATATTTTCTTGGACATGGTGGCAAAGTGGTTTCTTCCGCAATTAAAACAAGATTCTGCAAATTCCATTCTATAATTGGATGACACACCTCCCCATTAACACTTGGATGTTAGGACTGAGCTTGACAATGTGCTACCACTGCTGCCTGAGATTGGTAGATGAATGCCTTGTGATCCGAATGACTCACTCCTGAAATGGCCTCGTAAGATCTCTGGACATCCCCATGTGATTTTTATCTAGTAATACATCAAAGAATCAATAACTTTGAGAATCAAAGATAAAGTACACACCACCATAACCAGATAGCATACCTGAGATCCAGCAACGGATTAGCAATGCTGTAGACACAATGGATCAAGACACTCTTATCAAAGTATGGCAAGAGCTTGACTATAGTATCTATCGCATCACAAATGGTTTCCATATCGAACATTTATGGTTCTATGTAGCTGGAACAAAACTTGAGTTTTCATGAATTGAAGTTGTAACCATATTTTTCTTTGTATAACAAATAAAACTATATTTTATGTACTCTTGGAATCATGAACATAATTTGTAATAACCCTGTATGTGGTGAAAAATGCATGTAAATAACAATACAATATTCCAATTACTTACCAAAATAGTACCTAATCAAATAGGACGTAAAAAAACATAATATCATCAAAACCAATTATTAATTATTTATTATTTAAACGGTGATAAAAGGGGATTTCCAATAAATACTATGTTTGATAATCAAAGTCGCCCTAATCTCCAAATAATTTGGGTTGCTATCAATGTTCTACTGTGTAATTATGTGAAAAAAAACTCCTAAGGACAACAAATATGACTTTTTTCCTGCATTTATAAGATATAAAACAAAGGATTGTGCGTTATCTAGAGTTGTAATGTTGAGAAATTTGAAGCAGGCCTATATTCGTTAAAGATGAAACTCAATAGTGTGGTTTGTTACCTTGTCAAGATTAAAGCCTCCATCATAATAACAATTTCGTCCCCAGACATCAACTCCAACATAAACGTCAAGTTTCCTGTTTCCAGCCTCCGTCAGTGTGTCTGCTAGGCCACTGGGGGTCCACACGTAGTTAAGGAAAATGCCATCGCACTTGTCAAAGAATAGTCTGAAAACCAGAAATTACTTCCTCTGAATAAGTATTTAATAGTGAAATTTTAAGATTAAGTGTAATAAAAACTGTATGATTTTACAGCTCTCCCGTGGTATATTGTTAGCCTACTGTCCAATTTATTGGGAGGGTATTGACTATAAAAACATAGCACAATGGTATTATCAAGAAATTAATTAATGAACTAATTGCCTAGGTAGCCGAATGGTTATAGTGCTTCTTTTTTAATCTGAAGTTCACTGGTTCGATTCCAAGTAAGATCGTTTCTAGACCCAGATGCTATTTGCTATCTAAATAAGTCGTAATTTGATAGCAAAAAGACCAGGGATTGGACCGTTTCCTTTCACGAAACAATACAAACTGCTATGGCTGAGAAACAGAAATAAAACAAAACAAAAACTCACTATCATGCTGCCATTTTATCATGGTTCTGCCAATGATATTCCGCCCAAGTCAGAGGAGTAAGTTAATGGGTACAACTAATATACTTACTTATATAATATATTTACTTTGTTACAACAAGAGACCAAGTTCCTGACTTTCCAATTGTCTATTTTGCATGTTAGCTGTTTATAAACCACCTAAAAATAATGAGTAATTTTCGTTCATTCGTCCATTTAAAACTAACTAGTGCACCTGTTGCTTAAATTCGAGCAATTGAATGAAGTATTACAGGCGTTAACCCTCCGAGTGTTATTTGTCGCTGCAGCGACACATAACACACTTTGTGTAGTGTTTTGTGTCGCTGCAGCGACTCACAAACACTGTTTACGGCGAAGGCTCTATGACTGACAAAATCGGATTGAACTGGATCGAGTTAGGTATCGTTTTATTTTACAGATTCAGAGCTTTCTCCGGAGGTCTGTCTCTAAGCGCTATTCATTTTAGTTCCGAAAATATTGTAGCAGACAGCTGACGTGCGTATTTGTAAACAGCTTGGTTATCCTCGGACCGATGACTGATGTGTTTTATTACGTTTATCATTGTTTTAGTGTTAAAAATCAAAAGTAGTGATATACGTGGTGCATTATAAGAAGATTTAAGTGATTTTGAAGGGCTGGTTGATGATCCTGAAGAAGTAGGTAGTGATATTGCTGTAAATTATCAGCCAGATTCCTAGCTATGGTTAGGCTATGCATTCTTAGCTAAACGCTATGTACTGAAATCTATTTTTGCCCATAACTTATTTATTTGCAAATCTACTTCCTTATATTATTATATATTTGTAATCCTCATAAAATTTAGAACAAAGTGGCTATTTTCAAATATTTATAGGCCTATAATTTATACAATTTCATTGAGCGCGAACTTATTTTTTTTTTTAATTTTCCAAAATATTTTTTTTACCAAAAAATTTTTTTTGAAACAAATGTTCCTTATGTTCTATGTATAATATTGAAGCCCATGATTTTCCAAACAAAATGGTATATAGAACAGTATAATTAACATTGTTTTCAAGCTTCTCAGATCCGTTTGAATAAAACCGTGCAAATGAGCAAAAAATAGGCAGACATTAAGGCCAAAACAAGGGACACTCGGAGGGTTAATTCAAAACGAATAACAGTCATAATTTCCGATGACTTAAAAGAGTCAACTCAAAGATAATGTAATCAATCACTCCAATCCAGTTATCGAAACTGAAAACAAACTCACTCTGAAAACGAACGCTCTTGAGTGTATCATGTGTTAACTATGAAAAATAATTAAAACAAATTATTCGTCTGTATAAGTAAACAAATCTTTTCTTCATAAGAAATACATTGGGGTTTTGATGGCCTGTGGGCCAAAGCCCGAGAACCTTTATTACAGGAATTGGTGAAAGAAGGCGCCTACACAAAAAATACTTAATTTGGACACATCGGTTGTAAAAATCTGTCCATTATTAACAGAGGAGTAGTGTTTTGTAGAAATCGCCTTCACATATTATATATAAGGATGAGAAAGTTTTAATAAATGAATTAAATGAAGTAATTATAGTTATTAAAAATAAATATGTTATTTTACTTGAAGATTATAATATTAACTTAAAAGATAAATTTTGTATGAATGTGAATTAATATAAAAACTAATGGCAGCAAATGGTTTAAAATAATGTATTGACCAGTATACTAGGGAGGAAGTAAGACTAGGAAAACTGGTTTGATATCTTATTGACCATATCTACATTAGAGGAAACAACAGCAGGCCAAAGTCAGCTATGGTCAAGATAAAGATACCTGATCACTACCCTTTCCTGTTGAATTTTCATGTAGGAGAGGAAAATTTAAACCTGAATAATATTTCTAAGAAAAAACTAGATAATAAATTGATCAATCTGGGCATAAAAATATTGATTGGTCAATACTGTACTACAAAATTTTGTTTGATCCTCAAATGACAGTAGGGATGGACGGGATTGAATTTTTAGTTCGGGACGGGACAGGATTTTGATTTCCTTCCCGATTTTCGGGACGGGGCGGGACGGGATTTTTTTCTGTGCATAAAAAGAAAGTACTGTATTGCAGTTACCAAAAAAGACATACGAAATAAATTTATACCTTTTGTGGCACTGATCTATAAAAACAAAAAAATGGGTAACAATTTACAGGTACCTATAGTAACTTGTGACTCACGGGGTGATCGTCTGTATGACTCACGGTCACGGCGCGATCGTCGTCATGACTCGCGATCACGGCGCGATCGTCGGTATGACTTGCGGTCACCGCGCGATCGTCGGTATGACTCCGCGGTCACGGTCAGGGGCGGACTGGCCCGCCGGCCCACCACCGCATCTGGTGGGCCGATACGCCTTCTCAACATTCCAATATTTGCGCCCTCGTTAAAGGAAAAATTCATAAAAAATTTTAAAAAATGAGTCGAGATGTGTTTTTAGAAATCAAGATGAAAAACTTAGAGTAAAAGTTTCAGCAGTGAATAGCAAAACATAAAGTCTGGTGTGAGACCTGAATAGACACTGTCGACAAGCGAGAGCAAAGCAGCTCTTCTCTCTCGTACGTGTAGGCCTACTCCGAGTTGAAGGCACTTTAACTCTGTGGTCTGACTCTGAGGTACTTAAAAACAGCTGTCCTCTTCCCGCGTCATTTTACGCCGAACCCGAAAAAAACTGCACTGTGACTGCATCCGACATCGGTCGGTGTCACGATGTCGTCTGTGGTAAACAACTAGTGAAGATAATTTAATATTATGCATATTTGTTATAATATTTAATTATTGCTCACACTATAACTATTTCAGTTTAAGTCACATTTAATTTTTATCAATGTCAACTCAACTCTCTTGTAAAATGGCGTTTGCCGTGCATGTAATAAATAAATAAAGAGTGTGAGCTGCCAATTAAAATGTGTCTCTCTTTAGTGAGTGTCTGATTTGTGTCTCTGTGTCGAAAGCTTCAATGTATTTTTATATTATTTACCTACACAGGAAACATGAACGAAAGCAGTATTGTAGAATCACTACTTTTACAAAATTTAAATTAGATTTAGTGACAGAGTATTTGTTAACTTAACCATTACACAGTAAAGGTTAAACAGTAAACATTATTTTAATACCGTATGTGGCTACCGCCTATTAATTAATTATTTCAATATGCACTATGGCACTAATTTGGTCAACTTTCCTATTTTACTTACAGATAGCCAGCTCAAAATACCTTCGTAGTTCTCTCTAGGCTATTTCGTTTGTAGAAATAGGTTAGGTAGGCCTACTTTAGGGTTACAGTTTTGACTTAATGTAATGCTAAAAAAGTTTAAGTCAATAAATTGGTTTTGTTCACAGTGAAAGCATATTGTTTGTGTTAAAATAATTTCATAGAAGTCTAAAATATATAACTTCTGTTATTTACAGTGCCAAAAAATACAACAGTTGCAAGTTCAGGTTGTAAACAGGAAGCAAATGATTTATATTGTATGCATGCAGCCAAGTCATGCAAGGGAAAATAAAGAAAATACACAAATATAATACGAAAGAACCTAAGAAAATCATTTGTATTTTTATTTTTGTTAGGATATTTACTGTCAGAATAGCACCAAGTCGTGTGGGTAAATAGTCTAAATTTTGTAAACCAAACATTGACCAATAGTGTCAGTTATCAGATTTCTGATTTTCCACTGTTAATGCCTCTAGATTGCCTAAAAATGCGAGTTTACAGGTATAATTTTTAAAAAATTTCCCGGGGGAGGGCCCCCGGACAATTATGGGGGTATTCCATACCCCCCAGACCCCCCGGTTGGCGCCTTCGGGCTGGTCAAGGTTTACGCCCTAATAGAGTACCCAGTCCGCCCCTGGTCACGGTGTTATCGTCGGTATGACTCCGCGGTCATGGCATGATCGTCGGTATGACTCGCGATCACGGCTCGACCGTCAGCATGACTCCGCGGCCACGGTGGGATCGACGTCATGACTCGCGGTCACGGCGCGATCGTCGTCATGACTTGCGGTCACGGTGCGATCGTCGTCATGACTCGCGGTCACGGCGCGATCGTCGGTAGGACTCCGCGGTCACGGCGCGATCGTCGGTATTACTCCGCGGTCACGGGGCTATCGTCGGTATGACTCGCGGTCACGGCATGATCGTCGGTATGACTCGCGATCACGGCTCGATCGTCAGCATGACTCCGCGGTCACGGCGCGATCGTCGTCATGATTCGCGGTCACGGCGCGATCGTCGGTATGACTCGCGATCACGGCGCGATCGTCGGTATGACTGCGGTCACGGGGTTATCGTCGGTATGACTCCGCGGTCACGGGGTTATCGTAAGTATGACTCGCGGTCACGGCATGATCGTCGGTATGACTCGCGATCACGGCTCGATCGTCAGCATGACTCCGCGGTCACGGCGCGATCGTCGTCATGATTCGCGGTCACGGCGCGATCGTCGGTATGATTCGCGGTCACGGCGCGATCGTCGGGTATGACTCGCGATCACGGCTCGATCGTCGGTATGACTCGCGATCACGGCTCGATTGTCAGCATGACTCCGCGGTCACGGCGCGATCGTCGTCATGACTCGCGGTTACGGCGCGATCGTCGTTATGACTCCGCGGTCACGGCGCGATCGTCGAAATGACTTCGTCTCCTGCGTTCGCGGACCTATCGCTCGCAATAACGGCGTTTTCGGCACTCGCGAAGCGGAAAAATCGCCGACGATCGGACCAAATTCCGTCCCGAAAAATTCCCGAGTCAAATGTAATCCCGTCCCGATAATCGGGAATATTTTTTTCCCGAAAAATTCCCGAAATTTCGGGACCCGTCCATCCCTAAATGACAGTTATCAAAAATCTATATATTTAATACGCTACACGTTTTTTCTTGTGGCAACCAATTTGAGAGAACCACGGCTGGGCGTAGAAACTTGGTAGAGGTATCTAAAGAAAGGTCTTGGTCTGTAGATGAGCCATCAAAAGAAAACAAGGTAAATTCCCTTGGGGCTCTGCCCCAGCGGCCTTTAAAATTCCATTCACGTGTTATTCTTATGGAGGGGAAAACAAGGTTTTTGTCGCAGCTAATTTGAGAGAAGTTCTAGGCATAAAGGCTTGATAGAGGTGGCTAGAGAAAGGAACCAAGCCACAAGACAACAAGGATTTTTTGTAGGATTTTGAGGGAAGGTCTTGGTCTGTAGATAAATCAGGATGCCAAAATTTATATAAAAATTACCGTCTTATCAATATAATGTGCAATAATAGATAAAATAATGGAGCGATAATAAAAAAAAAAAACTATCAGTGTTTTTTTTTAAATTGAAATTTGTATGGTAACTCTCAATGGAACATTTAGTACACTCAAAGAACTGTGTTGATTGTTGGTTGAGCTTTAATAAGCTTTTAATTAACTAAAAGGTATATATTTTCATTCAACATGTCGGTGCAGACAAACCTTGTATGGTTTTTGCACCTAATAAAAAAACTAATAGTTCAATTTTTAATCGAATGACTTATTACAACACAACAGAGTATGAGAAGTATAAGAAATTACCTAGATATAGAAAGTATCTCACTTGTTCAATGGGCATAGCTTGTTTTGCCAGTCTAACTTCCCCTCTACAGTGACAGAATCATACCACAAAAGCCAAGTTTTCCTCTTGCAATAAAGGTCCAAGTGTGATTTCAATAAACCTACAAAATTGACCAGTGGCGCAACCAAATCTTGTGCAACTTTATTTTCAACATTCAATAAGTATCCATCAAACTTAAAATGTGCACAAATTTCAGCAAGCTTTTGAGAGAACAATGAGGTCTTTTCCGGGTCTGAGAGAATGTAATTCCAAATATTCTCTCCTTCACCCCATTCTGTAATCAAGGTACCTGTAAAAATGAACATGTATTAATCTGAGAGAAGTGCGAGATTAAAAAGGACCAAGAATAACTTTTACAAATAATGAAAAGGCCTGATGAATTTGTAGTAAAAACAAATATAGTATATTACTAGATTTTTTCAAAAGAAAACTCAAAAGGTAAAAGGAGATACAGATTTGAGATGTAATCAATGAATCCTAATTGATACAAGTCTAAAGAAATACTGGAATGGACAAATCTTAAGATATAAAGACAGGGGAAGCATAAACCAAGAATATTTCATTTTTCCTCTTGGTTATGGCCTGTGTTACAGTATAGATACCCTCAAAAGTTTATCTAAGTAGATGTAAAATATTTTTAAAAGGTTTAAAAGAAATCTACCGCTTGAATGATAAGTTGTTGGCTGACTTTCATACATTTTTTCATCAACCTAGGAATAATATCTTTAAAATTTACATTTTTTTAGGACACCAACCTAATACTGGTACTCCATGTTTGTGTCCCGCATCTAGCCAACCATGTGGAGGTATTGTAACAAGCTTGTGACTGAAGTAAATGAAGATATCAATGACAGACCAATTGAAAAAGCGGTAGGTATTAATGTCAGGGGAGCCATTACAAAATCTGAAAAACATGACTTATCAGTGAAAATAAAATAAGACTGCTGTGAATGCTGTGATATAGTACTAATTGATTTTGGTATTGCACTAAAATAAAGAACTGTAACTTAGGTAGCCTACTGTACTCAAAAAAGTGATTGGTTTAAGCCTGCTTTTACAGACAAACTTTTTAAAATGCAAGGGTTGCCAACGATATAAACGACACAGTTCTGAGGGCCACAGACAACAACCAGTTTCTGTTGAGATAGTCACAAAACTATGCTTGCATAGCCTATTGGCATGTTGAAAATACCTACCACGATTTGCTTTAGTCTAAGACCGTGGTAAGGTTAAGTGGGGTAAGTGTACGCAATCCAAATCACATACCGGTAGTACAACTTTGACCACAGATTAAAAAAAGGCATGGTGCTATAAAAATCAAATTGTTATTCTTTAGAATGTTTTGTATATGCGGTTTTTTATTTTGTTAAAAATATAAATTTTGTGTTTTTGAGAGTGTTTTGTAAAATGATGTTTGCGGTGTGCACTTCCCCCTTGATCTGGGGTAAGTGTACACCCCCCCCCCTCCTCTTATTGTAGATTTACACTGCATATTACTTGATGTTGGGGCAAGTGGATTTTAGAGGAAAAAATTAGCTTTCTTTTGATTTTTCAAAATACCTCAAACGGTTCAGGAGGTATAAACTATTTTGGGAACCTCCGCAAGGGAAAACGGGGGAAAACAAGGGAAAAAGGAAAAGGGGAAAACCCCAGCGTTATTAAATTCTAAAGAAATAAAAACCTTATGATTCCACTATTTCATTGAACTAACAATTACTAAGTCTCAAAGAGCAGAAAATGAGCTTTATTTAGTTTTTTTAATAATATCTTAAACTATGGCCTACATTAGTTAACAGGTTTTCGTAAACCTCCGCTCGGTGAAGTAACTTAAAACCTTAATATTTTAAATTGTAATTGACTTAGGCCCTGAATGTTCCCATATTCAATCTTAAAAACTAAATTAACAAAGTGCCAGTTTTTTCTTGTCATTCAAGCATGATATAACAAAGTTTTCTTTATTCTTAGATAATTTATCAGTTATTGAGGGGGGCGTACACTTGCCCCAAGGGAAAAAGTACACTTGCCCCTTACGTGTTTTCACACAGGGTAAGTGTACCCTAACTTCCCAGAATTAACTATTAGGGCTATAACAATGTTATTTTTTAATTCTCCCTCAAAAAATAAGTAAGATCACCAAATTTCAGTTAGCCTAGTTATCCTTGTATTTCAATTTTTAGTAGGCCTACCAGTAATTTTTTTAATTTTCCGAGCGGCACTTGTGCTTTGAGTAGAAACAAGAGGTTGTTAAACACGTTTAAACTCATAGAAATCATAGCAAGAGAATTTTTTAGTAATTATAATTTAAAAGAGCATAGGTTGAAATACCTTTGGCCAAGTTTTCATATCTTTTGGTTAATAAACAAATTTATTATTAGCTGGAAGTCCTCTTGCTCCGGGTGTAGACTTACCCCACTTGACTTTAACTTAGTCTTGGAGACTTTCCTATCAGCTGAACTCTTGTCCAGACTGGAGCTGAATTTGTAACTTAGATGTGGTTTCTTAAAATTTGTATGAACCATTTTTGATATGGTTATTTCATTGTGTTTCACCCACTATTTCAATTGTGCAAAAACAGTCTGAAGGTAGCATTTAAATTAAATGAGTCGGTTCATTATAACCTTAACTTTACCTTCTAAATCTAACCTAACTTCAAAACACTTTTAATACAGTCACGAAACTGCATAAAATCCGACTTACCTTCCCCACATGCCTAAATAAGAGCTGTTAGTTTTAAAACTAGTGATGCGCGATTGCAAGATGTACCATTCAAACATTTAGATTTTTTTTTTGGTTATTCTGCATTCCAAATGTGCATTTGAAATGGCCAATGACAATAATTATTTTATTTTATATAAGTTAATATCGTTATGGGAAATCAATAAAAGTACGGTAAGATTTTAACACAATTAATTTATACAAAAATTGCACTGCTCATAACCTAAGGCGACTCTAAATTGACCATTTAATGCAGGCAGGACATTAGAATGACTGGAGGAATCAATAACAACGATGCCTGTAAAATATTGTGTTGGAACAGGATTAACAGGGATGTTATTATTAACTTACAGCCGCGTTCGCAGAAAAACAAACGGATTATTTCAAATGAATTTGTTTGAATGCAATGAATCGTTGGAAACATTCCAAACGGAACCTTAGATTCGTAATTTTAACCTTCATTTTACAGCCTCTTATGAATCTCTCCGACAAAAACTGATTTGATTTTTAGATTCTGCGAGAAAAAAACTATAAGTAGACACCGAAAAATGACGATCATATCCCAATGTAGAAATACTAATAATTGCCGATTTAATCTAATAAGGACCTTGAATTATAATTTATGTAGGCTATTAGAAAACAAACAAAACTAACACAGCTAGAACTTACTTGTCTTCAAGGTAGCCCCCTTTGAAATCGTGACAAAATACAGTCTTTGGCACTAGGCATTGCTTTAGTTTGTATTCAGGAAATACAGTTGTTTTTTCTCTAACATCTAGCAATTGACCTACACTAACAAATTTGGTGTTATCACACAAATCACTGACACCATATTTATCAATCCAACAGTTTCCATTACATTTCCACTGCATAACACTGCCAACATCTAATATAGGATAACAAATATCACTAGAATAATCCATTTTTAGAAGGAAATATCTTATTAGCCTAAAAAAATCCGTGTTGGGAGCTGGAAAACAGGATGTAGAGCTCACGAATCGTGAGTCACGATCGAACAACTTTTATCATTCAAAGTACGAGCAAAGATTACATAGCATATGTAATCTTTGGTACGAGTAATACGAGATAAGGTTTGTTTACTAGTGACGAGGTAGGTAGGTAGCCTAGAGGTGGAATGGGCACACGGAAGGGACTAAGGCTAAATGTGTAATGACGTCATATCTCTAGTGGTTATTGTCTTCTCTTGAGGCGACACGATTACCGTTAACGAAACGATGTGATTTCAGCGGCGTTCGTGGCATAGTTGGTAGCGTTTCGGATTGCTGTTCAGGAGGTCCGGGGTTCGAAACCCGCTGGCAGCATTAACTTTTTGTCAACAAATTTTTCATATCAGCAAGTTTGGTTGGTTAGGTTAGGTTATGACAGTTTAATTTTATAATACTAAATTTTAAAATTAATTTTATAATTAATTAAAAATTATAAGTAATCATTAATTAGATTTTTATCTTATATAGTTTTTATATTATCAGCAAGTCTGGTTGGTTAGGTTATGTTATGACAGTTTAATTTTAAAAATTAAAAATTTATTTTATAACTTTAAAACAATATTTTATAATTAAAAAGTTAATTTTATAACAAAAAATAAAAAATTAAAAATTAATTTAAATTTTTTCAACTTAGCAGTCCTAGCGGCGAACGCTGACACTACAAGATATGTTAGCCTTAGTCCCTCCCGTGTGCCCCACCGGCCTAGAGGTTAGGTTCACAGTCACATAACTTTTGACGTTTTGATTGACATTTGGGTTTCCGAGGCTTTTGGTTATGAATCCAGACGAAATCATAGACCTCTAAAATCTCATTCATGCAAATGAATGCAGCAGCACGACCGTCTCACCGCAGTAATAAATCCTATTTTTTTTTAGCTGCAACTGTTACATTTGCGTTAAATGTCGCTCTGTGGAACAGATTGGATGAGCCGTTCCTGATAAATATTCCCTCGTCCCTCCCTTCACCATTCGTAACTCGGGTCGGGACTCTGCCTACCCCCATCATCCAGTGCGGTCAGTGTCGTGAACTGTGAAGTGTGAAGTGTTTCTCTTTCACTAGTGATTTCGAATTATGCTTGATATTCGATATGTTGAACATGCCACGCCTGTTATGAATTTTTGAATGAAGAAGCTCTGCACAAGACCGCCTCCCTCATGTATAAGACTGTGGAGAAAAGAAATCCCTTTCCCTGTAATATTTTGTGGAATATAAGTTCCTATTTTACTACTTATGAGTTGATGGTTTATGTTTCCATAAATTAAAGAAATATGGGTTATTATGAACTTCACTTATACTTTTTTCCAAACCTGGGCTAATTAGCTAACTTAGGAAATTCTAATCACTCTTTTCCTTTGAAAATTTTGGAGCAAACTTGACCTAGGCGTTCTTACAGTCTTTAGTCAATGCGCATTGAACATCCTAATACTTTTGAAAGAGAATGTCCATCTAATAGGAAAAGATTTCGTCTACACTAGTGATCAGCGTCACCGGACATGAACTAGACAGGAAAAACAAGCTTCAAAATTTAAAATGGGACGGGTAGTCTACTTGGGCTGGTTATTCTGTGGTATTATATTGCTAAGAGAACACAACCCGCCACCTCTGTTTTTTTTGTGGTGGCGCTTTGACGACTCTGACCAAAAAACCGAGGTGGCGGTTTGACGTGGTGGCGCCTTGACAGCGACCCGAGTTTGATAATTTAAAATCAGCATCTTGTACAGTATGTGTTCAGTGAGCTTTTTATTTTGTTGTTTTAATCAGCTTTAATTACACAATAGGGACTAACCAAACACAAAGTGTATTCTTTATAAGTATATTCTTTATAAGTATAAGACGTGTATTCTCAATATCTTTATCTATGGTTTAATCTAAGCTTGAACTCATTGGACAATAACTCGGTTTGTTTTGTTTTCTGCAACTCGCTCGCATCCGCAACGAACCGCGACAGCAAATAAAAAAAAACTAACCATCATAACATAACCAACAAAACATTACAATACAATACAAATACAAAACACAACAGCCGTCTGCCGTAGTCGTAGTCCTACCTTTCATCCCATGTGACAATATACTTTTTGGTATTTAAGTGTAATATGGATCGTTATAAATATCACATCTCATGAGGTGTTAAATGTACCTGACTACTAATAATTGGTTTGAACTTGACGGCCTTTAGTGTCCATTTTACAGTTGTAATTAACTTAGTTCTGCAGTTCAGTACCTAAGTAAAAACATACCTAACCTATAGGTTAACCTAAGTTTTACACCCATCTAGCTTTAACTATTATCTAGAGTAGGCCTGCACGGAGTAGAATATTTTTAACATCGATAATTCACATGGCACCAAAATCTACGTTTACACACAGTATGAAGCACAATAAAAAGGTGAGTAAGTTTTAGGTGTATGATTTGTTCTAGTGTTGGGTATCGATAGTCAATATATCGAAAATATCTATGTTTTGAAGCCGATAGTCGATGTTTTTGCCATCGATAGTTGTCTTCCGATATATTTTTGGTATCGATATTTTACTCCGATATTGGTATGACCACCAAGGCCTACTATCGATATTTTACTCCGGACAATAATTTGTGTTAGTAGCGTATACGGTAAATTAGTAAGTTATATTTATACTCTGATATTTATTTTTTACTATCATTTTGTTTTACTATCAATGTTTTTCTCCAATATTTATCGATACAAATATCAATGTTACTGGTTCAATGTCCCAACACTAATATGTTCCACTAAAATGCAAAAGAAAAGAAAAACCTATAACTTAGACTTAACCTTAAAATAGAACCCTTCAAGGTTGAATTATTAAGCGCGCCGGACCCAGTTAAAGCAGTTTTTACCAAACCATCCCCAGTTTTACCATTTGGGGGTTGAGATAAGGTTAGTGCTAGTCATGATTAAGTTAAATTAGCCTTAAGTTAATAGCTGGTTATCAGCATCAAAATAGAATAAAAAAATACCCGTCAACTGAAATATTTGGTCCACTAGTGAGTACTACGACTTTCCGCAGTACTATCCTGATCTCAATTAGACCAATTTGTTCATTTCAAGGCAAAAATGTGGTTCAGATTCCATTAAGTTATAAACTGTAGGTCCCTTAGTTGCTGCCATTGGTTGTATTGGCTAATAATTAAGTAATTTTCCTTAACAGTCCTGTATAAGGGAAATGTCAAACTTCACTAACAAGACTAGGTACAAGATCGTGCCACTCATCTTCATTCATACTTGGCTTAAAATACCTACCTTCGTATGGTCGCCAATCAGATAAAAGTATTAAGGGGTGAACATCAATCTGGTTTAATAAAGTGTTTCTAGGCGTTGGGCAAACTAAAAAGTTAGTACCGGTACAATCGAATGTAAAAAATAACCTGATGCTGATACTGATTCTTGTAGTCCTCTTGACTCTATAGCCTATATATTAATAATTGTTTCCTCAATAACAGCTAGGCCTACTTTAAGACAGGACTTAGTTATCTAGCTTTTTCAGAACTATCCAGAAAGAATTTCTCTAAAATCTTGATAAGCCATTGCCAAGTGGTCACTGTATGGCTATTTTTAACTCTTTTCACAAGCAATGTTAAGCTTTTTTAAATAGCATGATCAACACTAGGTTTAAGAGTTACAAGTTAACTTAGCAAGTTTATTATGAAATATGTGTTTTATGTTATTGAAAACATAGTGAAGAAATCATATATTTTTGTATGCATTCAGGCTAAAAATGTTTTTGAAGAAGAAGACATTTTAGAAAATGACGAAGAGGAAGAGTCAGACTGTGAGTCTAAAGTTGAAAGTGATGATGATGATGATGACTTCTTAGATGCTGTCACAGAAGCTTCTTCAAAGAAACGCAAGTTAGAATCAGTAAGTCAACACCTAACTTCACAACTCATTATAGTCCCCCCCCCTTCGTTCAATCTTACCTGTTTTATTGGCCTACAACTGATTTAGGCTAATCCATTTTTTTGTGTGAGCGATTTGATGGTATTATAAAAAATTAATCTCCCTTGGGAGTACGCCAGGTCTTGTATTTTACCTATCCTTAAATTTGGTAACTAAAAGTCTTTCTGTACGAACCTGCCATTAGCAGAATTTAAACTAGGCCAGCTTATTTTAACTCATTTATTTAAATTATCTTTGTTGTTAGACTTAGGCCTATTTATTTTTATTTTTTGTATTTACCTGTTTTCATGCCAGTGACATTTTTTACTTTTTGAAAGGGACCGATCTAAACATTTTATCTACTTAACCACATTGTAATTATTATGTAGCAAATATCAAATTAATTGACGAACCCTAGCTACAGTATATTGTCTAGTAAAATGTTTAAACTATTTATTAAAAAAAAAAAAACGTTTAAAACTTTTATTTAACTATTTATTTATTTATTATATTTGCCTGTTTTGTGCATGGTGTGATTTAAGTTAAGTAAACCCAGTTTACTAACTGGGACTGTTAGCCTAACTGATTGTTACCAAATGATTATTATAAATGACTTGTCTGATTGCATGTAACTGCATGTTTAAAAGACCAAATACATTCTCATTCTCATTCTGAAAAGAACAATAAAGATTCTTTTTCTAATTCTTTGTCCTAGCCTATATTGTATTTCAATTATGTTACATTTAACATCGAAAGTTGAGCATAAATAAAAGTACACCGTTTAACAACACATAATAACATCACCTACGGTACCTTTGTAAAACCAACTTCTGATGTAGAGACTTTTTTACTCTCTAAAAGAAAGAAAAAAGCTATAGCCTACAGTAAACTCCATTTACTCCCTATAGTTCGACATCTCGATAATTCAACATCCTTTCAGTCCACTAAATGTCGAACTATCGAGGTTAAATACTGTACTGTGTGTGTGTGTGTGTGTTTATGTAGGTTTTAACTTTTTATTTCTTTATAGGTTCCTATGTTTTTAAGGCTTTTTACTCAATGGTCAGTAATTGCGCCTAGTCGGAGCTGGAAAATGGTGTAGATAATTTAAACAAATTTATAGGCCTAGCCACATTTACAAATCATGCCCGTGTGTATTAGCTTAGGTAGGTGTAGGCCTACAGTATAGCCTACTTATAAAAAAAACATAAAAAAACAATTAATTTGGCTTTTGTTAGTAATTTCGATTTTTTTTTTTTTTCTAGGATGGAGAAGAAGATGAAGACGCAAGTGAAAATGGAGAGGAAAGTACTGAAAATACAAAAGTCACCCAAAAGAAGAAGAAGAAAAAGAAGAAAGTGTCTACGGCTGATATGAAACCACCCACAGCGGAAGAAATGATCCGTTTACGTGAAACAGAAAATTTATTCCATTCAAACTTATTCAGGATGCAAATTGAAGAGATGTTGAAAGAAGTGAAACCCAAAAAAGTAGAGCGTAAACAAATTAAACCTTGGCTAGAGAAAATTAAAGATTTTCTGATGAAAGTTGATGATTCAGACAAAATCAAGGTAACTTATTATAAGTTTGTTTTATGTTTTTGAAAATGTGTCTTAGTTTTTAGAACATTATCTCTTAAATGTATTACTATAGACTCTTGAAAATCTAGATTTCATCTTGGTATAGATCAAGCTTGTTTATTACTTATCCATATAAGTAATATGCCAACACAAAATTTTTCCTTTGAACTCCTCTGCCATTTCTTAACCTATTTTGACCATTGACGTCTCATTGTAAAGAGCGTGTCACATAGATTAGCAAACTGACCTTAAGTTTATGAGAAAGTCTCTTGGGCTCTGCCCAGTGGCTTTTAATGTTCTCATGTTATCTTTATGAAGAACATGTTTGTTTACATTATGATAAGCTGGATAATTTAATTGCTGTTAATATTTAAGTTTCAATTCAAGGAAATGCGTCCTACAAAAATTTAACTTTACTGACCTGGTTGAAATTAAATAGGTAGGCCTATTTACTCTTTGAATTTGGGTCTGCTTTGCTTAGGCCTACATATTACAATGGAATAATGTGAGAAAGCCTGGACAATTTGATATATTATCCAAATAAGTAGGCCTACATACTGTATTTCTTGACAATCATTGAAAGAACCCATTTGCAAAGTGCAAGCTATGGAAACATAACAAGTCATAGAACACCACCAAGTAGAAGAAATAGGCTAGAGATAATTTTTTTAAAGAATTTATTATCTTTATTAGCTTATATAATGAAGAACACCTACAAGTTGAAGATTCCTACAAACGATGAACGAGGATGTTAGGCGAAGTGCTACAATTTTTATTAGGAAACATGGACTTAACTTAGTGATCATTGCAGAAGAAAGACTTCTAAGGCTAGATAAATATGTACATCAAGGACATTTCATCTATGTTTCCATAAAAGTCAAGTGATTTTAGAAGAATAGCCTATGACTATAGGCCTATCCAAGAAACCCTTACTAACATTTTCATTGAAGGATTTAATTATTATTCACAGTTAAGGGAAACAAAAAACCAACAGAACAACATCAGGCCTTTTACTCTGCATTTTCTCAGGTACGGTAAATATAATTAACGTTATTTTAACTAGAACCAAAAGAACGCCAATTGAAAAAATAAAATTGTGACAGACAGGTTATGCAGGAAGTCCTTAAAGTTAATTAGAAAATTTTTTATCTTTAATAAAAAAGGACTGAAATTTGTAAACTTACTGCTGGCAACAAGAATGCTACCATGCAGGCTGCATTATCAATAACGAAGATAGACACGGACAACCTTATGCGGCTATAAGTCAGGAAATGTTTGTAGAAAACACTAAAAAAAATATCAGCTTATGAAATATTATGATCAAATATTTAGGCTATAGGAAATGTTGATTATATGGAACTGTTATGTACATTGTGAGTTTTTCCATGAGTTACACACTGGTAATCTTTGAGTTGACTCTTTTAAACTCATTGTAAAAATGACTGGTATTTGTTTTGAAATAACTTCTGTAATACTTTGCAATTGCTTGAATTCGAGCAACATGTAATCTAGTTTAACTTATTACTTATTATGGAACGGTGGCGTAGTCCTATAATCCATCTACTTGGAGGTCACGAATTGTAGATATTTATAGGCATGCACTGTGGATACGATACTCCCTGGTGTGGATTAACGTCCGCACTAGTGAGTACTACTACTATCCGCAGTACTATACTGATAATTAGACCAATTCGTTAATTAACTTACAAGGCAAAAATGTGGTTCGGATTCCACTATAAGCTTTAGTGTCCCTTAGTTTTGCCATTGGCTCTATGGGCTATTAGTTAACATCTGTGTCTAAGGAACATGTCGGCCTTAGTCACTAACAAGACTACAAGATTGCACAACTCTTCCTACATTCATCTCCATTCATACTTTGCTTAAAATACCTACATTTGTATGGTCGCCATTTCAGAATAAAGTATTTAAGTACCTGTTAGATATACTGACATTGAATATAGGAAAAGTTCTATGGATTAGCTAAATTCTCATTAAATGTTTAAGAAACATTCCGAATAGCTTTGGGGTGGTAGCTTGCAGGCTGATGAACCCTTCTAGGACCTTAAAACAGGGACATTATTTTGCTCAAACACCAGGCATTATTTCTTGGTTTACAACATGGTGTTATCAATCTTCAAATTGCCAGTTTTTAATGTTTTTATACAATACCAGAATAGTTATTTACTTCTACAAAAATAGAACCAATTCTTCTCCCAGTCCTAAAGCCATGATATTTGCTTCTTTCCAGCATGAGTAAAATACCTGGTGATCTCTAACCACATGTGCTGACATCTTCCATTTAACTTGCAATTTGCATGTCTAATAGGCAGTGTAAGGGTTTTGATAAAAATGTTAGTCGTTCAGCAACTGCATAAGTGCTAAGATGTGTTAAAATACGTCATTTTTCTTAACCAGGGGGAGTTTTCTCAAAGGGCCCAAGATTTACCACTCCAAGTAAAACTAAGGCTATTTACTGAGTTAAGACCTATTTCTCTTACTTAATTCTATTGAGATAATTAACCTAGCTGCCTTAATCAAAATTAATGAGCCTACTGTACTGTATTTTTAATACAAATCGATCAACGTTTTTATAAATTTATATCTAGGAATAAACTTTAAAATAGGCCTACACTATCTAAGCTTTTATCACTGGTATTTTTTATTTGTAGGCCTAGCCTACTTTCTGTTGTATCACTGTTAGTTCTATGGCATTCTACCTGTTTTTTTCTTTTTTTAGCTGGATACAGAATGCTTATTGGATGTAAAATCTCCTCTACCCAAAATGCCAAAGGAGGAGGACCGACCCGTCACCCATTTCTTGAGACCTGTATCAGCCTCAGTGGTGGGTTCGTACAACTCTGGCTGCTGTCTGGGTCCTTCATTGTCTGTGGATATCACTGTTGAAATGCCAAAAGTAAGTTCACTTCAAAAATTATTTTATTTTTTATTCCTAAACCTAAAATTTCTTATTTTACATACTGCTCTTAAATTAATCTAGAGGTTAAAATACCTTTAATCCGTCAGTGTGATCATATGTCACAGATGAGCGGGGACCGGTTTCAACCCAGCAGTGGGGCCATCATCAGGCGATGAAAGAACATAAAAAATATCACTCCGAAGAGGTTGTCAGAAAGTCTATAAATACGTCACGAGAAACAACACTTAAATACATATTTTACAAAAACATGTGTCGCCCCAAATTGACTGTGCGGCGAACGGTACGTGGTACGCGTGTCTGGACTAGCAACTTAATGTACGCGTACCGTCCACCGTGCAGTCAATTTGTGGCCACATGTGTTTTTGTAAAAAATGTATTTAAGTATTGTTTCTCATGACATATTTATAAACTTTCTGACAATCTCTTTGGAGTGATATTTATGTTCTTTCATCGCCTGAATATGGCCCCACTGTTGGGTTGAAACCGGTCGCCGCTCATCGGTGACATATGATCACACTGACGGATGAAAGGTATTTTTACCTCTAGAATAAATTAAATTTGTGATTGGGAGGCAAAAAACAACAGATATACTGTTCTTATCTGAATGACATGGTTACCTTGTAAAAAAAAACCTTGATAGTGATTACATTTGATAACAAATGATAAATCTTCTACGTAAATTAGTCAGGTTTAGATTATCAGTTTTCATTACTCACTGAGATCTTAATATTTTACTAAAACTGGATGTATATTTTACCTAAAATAGGTCCTCATTGTTGTAACGTAAGTTCCATAACAGGTTTTGGAATAATGATAGGATTATTTCACATAGTCTTTTCTTGGCATGATCAAATTGTAAAATTTTCAATAAATGTGTTATTTTGGGAGGGTTATAAGTTAGCATGGTTACTGGTTACGCTTCTTCTCGACATGTCTGAGCATTTCAGTTGGGCCAGAGCCAAGTTGAATGTTATCTTAACAATTTAAATAGCCGATGAGTGTGGATAACCTCATTAATTTGCTCGTAGCACCTCCCAAATTCAAACAACTACTAAATTAGTTGTTTCTACAATCACTTAAAAAAAGCAGCTGAGACTATCCAAAGATCTATAAAATTATCAATTGTTTAGATTATATGCTCTTTGGTGCAGTATACATTATATTTTGTAATCGTCATTTAGCCTATTGTTGGTTATGTTAATTGATAACAATTTTACTTTCAGTTAGCCTAAATGCCCTGTTTGTAAAATATTACCTTTTCCTTTATTGCAGGCTAGTAAGGAACAAACACATACTTCATACCATTTTTTTCCTTTTCTGTTTGTGATAGAAATGTTTCCTGAAAGAGGACTACCTGAATGCTCGTTACCACCTCAAGCGAGCTGTGTACTTGGGACACCTCGCTAGACTATTGCAGACAAGCGAACTTGTATGTAAGCAGCAAGGTATAAGCTGGTCTTTGCTCGGAGGAAACCCGTTGTGTCCCAGACTGTTACTGCATCCTGCCGTGGACAAACTCAATAAGGTAACTAATAACCTAGTTACATGTTCACAGGATTGGTCAGTTTCAAACATAAATGATCTCACATTCACCTTCAAACTATTTAGATTTTTTGAATTTTCGATGACAACCGTTCATTAATTGTCGGATAGACAGATAAAAATACTGTTTCCTCGTCTCAACGCCATGATTGCAAAATATCAAGCCGTTCAACAAATATTTAACTTATGATTTTTTTAAACAATTCAAATGCAAACAAAATTTAATCATATTACGTGTTGGTAAATATGGCTTTAGGCCAGTGTTTTTAAGGAGTTTGTAATGAATAGGTTTAATTGCAGGCCTATTTTAATGAAAATGTATAAATAAAAACACATATGTACACCAACATATGTCCATGTGTTTATTCGGGCATTTTCATATATTTTTGTCATATGGTAAGGCTGCTAAGAACCTATCCATTATAAAATCCTTATTTTCAGTTGATGTTTGCTGGATTGTTTTAGTATATGACCAATTGCTTTCTAAGCAACAATGTTAGTTTACAAAAAATGAAAGGGAATTCCAGTTTCTAAATTCTAGACATCAACTAATTTCCATCAACTACATATATTTCCCAAGGCTATAAATTTGCCTTGGATACTTTGTGTTGGTCTAGAGTTTTGATTGGATGGTATTTTATGGTAGCATAAACAAATTATGCAAAAAAACACATTTTTTTAGTTCAATGAAAGGGTTAGAACTTAGAACAGACCGTGATAAAATTTATAATTACTAAGTTATAGGCCTACATGGAGTCTTAAGGAGCTTGTTACTCTTTAACTTAATTTAATGAGATTGAAACTAACCAAATGTTTCACTGGTTACCTATACTGCTCATTGTCTTAAATATTATGTGTTCTGCTGTTTGCTCTTCTGGAAGTGAGTAATAGTAGATCACTAAAGTTTTTCACTAAAAGTAGATTTCACCTTTTTGGTATGAGATTCCTGGACAGGTGTCAAAAAATATGGGAAAAACATTACCTTAGGATCATGAAGTCCAAAAATGAGTAACATCCACTTTTGCCTGGAAAAAGTTAAGAATACAGTACAACTGACACAAATTAATCTGCGACTTCAACTTCTCGATTATGCGCCTAGGCTTTTTCAACCCTCTAAGTCTTTATTAGTTTGTTCAACAACTGTTTTTTTCACTCTTTTCATGAGTATTAACATCAAACCATTTCACACAAAAAAGGTGTTCAGAATGTTAAAATAGAAATTAGTTAGCACACCCCAAAGCACACAAACATGTAAAACATGTTGGTAACAGAATTAATTGTGGTGTCATTTGATTTTTTTATATATTTTTAGGTTAACATTTATGTATCAGCAGTTCCTCAGGGAAATACCTTCAAACTCTCTCGCTTCACTCCATGTAAAAATAACATAAGAGAGTCATGGCTCACGAAAGGGAAGAAGAAAGGTAAGTTTTAGTAGAGAGAAGTTGGATTTAGTTTAGAAATTTGTGTATTTTGAAGATAATTTAATTTTAATCTACAACTCTCTTCACCACCTTTGCTTCTTCAAGAAAAGCCAATTTAATTTTTCTGTGTTTGAATTTTCATCTTTAATTTAAGTTTGAAAATCTTAAAACTATATCCAAACACAAAGTGTACAAATAACCGTAACCTTTTAAACCCCAAAATCTGATAAATATGTCGTGAGTTAGGTACTGACAATGTCACTAGTAGCTACGCTATTATGATGAACGTTATTGTGATAATAAAGAGATATTTTTTATTCATAACAAAACCTGTGGTGCATTCTCAAGATAATAGTAACTATTCTCTTGGTGCATTCTCACTGGGTCTTAAAAAGATAAATAGTTATTATGTGGGTAACTGTTGTGTTACACATTATTTTCCTACAGTTACTATAAAGCATGGATAGTTTTATTTATGTTCAAGTAAATTTTTTCTAGGCCTATGCAGTTTCACAAATTAAAAAATTCAAACCTAAATAAATCAAAACCTAAATCAAATTGTTTCACAAATTAGCAAATAAAAATCTGAATAAAATTTCACAAACATATAAAATGAGTTAAAATCTGAATAAATTGTTGGTTTGTAATGTTTATGTTAACACACCACACCATAACAGGTTTATGGGTTAAGATAAGCTGTTGTATCAAAAATAAGCAATAGCATTTTCGTCTTCCATGATCGCGGCGAAATTATTGCATAACAACCAATAAACCAGAATGTTTTTCACCAATTCTTGGTTTCAGGTATTTTAAAAATACCAGTAAACCGGAACCTATCTTCAAAAATGGGTTTTATTTTGAACCCTTACAAAAGTTCACCACATTTTCGTTCATAACTTATTTGTCCATACAATATGTAAAAAATTAAGTGCGCCCCCCCTCAACAATGTCCTGGATCCGCCCCAGTTGATTACGAGGCGAGCACCATAACCACTGAGCTACCCAGCCATTTTGTCACTAGATGATATACAAAAACACTGTTTTCAGATTGTCAGATACCGTCACCAGTGTACAATGCTAGCGTGGTCGGTGATCTGGTGTTAACTAGTAATGACGCAGTCCAAGCACAAGTTCTGGAGAACAACAACAACCTGAAAGATGGTGTGTTGTTGCTGAGGGTGTGGCTGAGACAACGCCAACTTGACACTGTAAGCGTTTTTTTTTTAACAGTCATGTAAGTAAGACAAGACATTCATTTCAGTTGATAACATGTTATAAAAAGGTTTGGAAGTAGCTTAATTATTTGGATAGGAAGACTAGCTGTGTTTAGTAAGATAATACTAACAAGATGAAGATCAAATGATTTGAGTTGAATGTTTCTCAATTGCAGATTAATGAAAACTATGGTCTAAAAAACTGAAAAAGTTAGGTTAAAAATGTTAAATTATAAATAAGCAACAACAAGGTATGTAGGATAGGTGAAATTTATAGCTTGATGTTAGTCTAAGACCAGCTACTTATTTGCTCGGCAATTCAATAAAGGTTCCATGATCAAGGACAGCAAAGTCCACATTGAAACCAGAAATGCTTCTGGGTTTTTCTTCATCAAACTGGCAATGGATTCTGTTTGGTAGGTGGGCAATATATCTACTGATCTACTGACCACCTCAATTTAAATAATTCACTGAGAATAGAATGTGATTGATGATTCAGAAGATGTGAATGCAGGCACAGTAAATAGTTGAAATGAAATAATTAACTAGTCATATGGACCTTGGCCTAGCCAAACTAAATACAGCTCTCACTATTTTGAGTTTGTTTTTGTATGTCTTGCGTCTCATTTACAACACTGATATGAATACTTGCAGGGCCTCGGTGGTTTTAGCGGACATTTGGTTAGTACGCTGGTGACATCTATGTTGATGTCCAGGAAACTCAACTCACTCATGAGCAGCTACCAGGTGGTACGCAACGTCTGGCTTCTGCTAAGTAAGTGTACTTCCAACACCTGCTTACAGAAAAATCATGTACATTTAAGATAAACCAATTGTTAAAAAACAAATCTGATTACAAAAATTGAGGCAGCAAAACATGGCTATGTGACTAGGGCAATCAGTTACACAAAAATATTACATATACTGTATTAGGATTTTACATATACTTTACTATAGCCTATAAAGGGATGTTGTCAGTTTTTACGGTCAAACATCAACATAGTGAGTCATGACATTTATTCGCTTTTGTTCAGGTCTTGTTTAATATGTTGTATTCTTAACATATTCTCCTTTGAAATATTTGTTTTAGTTTTTCCTCTTCAAATGTATAAGAATTGATGATAATGTGCTGAAGTATATGTCGGATTAGGCTACAAAACGTGATTTGAAAATAAACGCCCAACAACATTATTACAAACTCACCCCCCCCCCCCCCCCCACCATCATATTAAGTCTTAGTGTTCAGAAATATCAATCACAAATTGTTTTCAAACATTTTTTACAATATATAAGAAATATTTTGTATGGAAATAATTAAAGCTTTAACTAAAACATTAATACAAGTAAAAAAAAAATAGTACTAAGTTAAAACTCCACACAATGTAGTTGACACAAACACGAAGTACCGAAAAAGATCGAAATGGCTGACATGGAAACAAAGCTCGCCAAAAGTCAAAGCAACACTTACAAAATGCGGCAATTGAACAAATGTTCCCCGGGCGAGGCTGAGCTCACACTGAAGCAAGGTTGTTGTTATGGGAGACTAAAAGAACAAGATAAAATCTAGAGCATTCAATTTATTCTCCATTAAAATCACAACTGCATAGTAATTATTTTAAACAAACACAACAATCAGAACAAAACAAAAGTTATTATCATCTGGAGTGAAACCAATATATAAAATATAATGTAGCTTCTTGCACCATTAATATATACTTATATTACAACAACAATTTTTCCAGGTCAGTCAGACTGGACCAAGGAAGGATATATGATGAGCTCTACAAAAAAAGAAGAGACCGCTCCAAAATTACAAGAGTTCCATGAACATTTTGATGTTGTGTTTGTGGATGCTACAGGCTACTGCAACTTGGCTGCGAGTGTGAATCGCCTCACATATCTCAGGGTAAGTGAACACTCTAGTCTAGTCATAGATTCCCTTGATCGTTGGGCATGTCATAAATGGCCCATCTTGATCATTGACAAATCTATAAGGTCATCTCACGCCTGCGTTCATATTCAGTTGGTATGGACAGGTTCCAAAATTTCAGGAAATTGTTGGGAGAAATATATCCCTAATCTTCTGAATGGCCGAATGGGATTAAATTTAATTCAGGACTTTCTCAGGACAGGATTTGTTTCAACTTTCGGCACTTGCCTGCTTCCAACCCTTGCTAATGTTTGTATATCAATAGCCTTCAGGACTCAGATACCATGAGTGAAATACTGCATCCGCCAAAAGAAGATTGTAACAATTTCAATGCTTCGGGAATGTACAATAGCTAGGCCTATTTGTGTATTAAGAGCGTACGTCATTGCCGCTCGAGAACTGTAGATGGCCATTGCTAAAGCTAAATCTTTCTACGACCATAAATTTTGTGAGCGGCATTGACTGTTTGTGCTCTTAATACAAACAAGAATTTTCCTACCACCATAATCATCATGAGGTAACTTAACTAACTAAAATGTCATTTCCATGCAGTGGTAGGAAAAATAAATTGAAACGATAAATTGTAACAGCGTTTACTGTGGACAAACTGTGAACTTTGTTAAAAAACCACATATCTGAATGGAGAAAGGACAAACCAGCTAGAGGTAAAATGTCGTATAACATGATAACGAAATGGCCATTCATTAGGGAAAATGGAGGATAATCTATATATTCAAGAATTGTAAGAAAGGAATTTGATGAATGTTTGGGAAGGATGGTATATTTATAAGGGAATCTTAAAAGCTGAACTAAGCTGACTAATGAACAAGTAAACTTTGACTCAAGTGGTACTAATTATTGTCCAATAAAATCGACCACTTACCATATTTTATAATGCATTTGCCTACTTATAAGTTAACAGAGTAAAGGTTATGTTTAAAGTGTTATTAGAATTTTTTTATTTACTCTCTGTAATGAAATTTATTATAATTTTTACAGATTAGACAAGAAGCCAAGTTGGCAGTAGAATGTCTGGACAATCCCAACATGAACAGTTTCCAAGCATTGTTCATGACGCCAATGCCTTTCCTACGCCAGTTTGACCACGTGCTTTGGTATGTTGTTAATCAACTAGTCAATTCAAAGTAGTAAATTCTTAGTGCAAAAAGGAATTGTGCTGATAAAGAAAAAAAAAAAGGAAACAACAAACATCAAAGGAAGATAAAAATCATATTTATTATGCATGCGTATTTATTTACTTTTGTCGAACAACTTCAATATTTTATCAGTCACTTACTTCTTTTGTATCTTTCTAAATGATTATGAATCTCTTTCCAGCATTCAGAAGAATTGGAATGTCGTTCAAAGTGTGTTGAAAAAGGAGACAAGCAAAGAAGAGCGGATGAAACATTTTGCAACCCCTGACATGCTGTTGGCTGTCGCTGTAGGAAGACTGCTAGAGAGAGGAGTGGGGGGACGGTTGGCTCACCTGGAGTTTCAACTACCCCCCCTACCACAGTGGGGGGTGGGAGTGGAGGCTCCCCTCAGTGACCTGACTCTTGTGGTGGGACTGAGACTCAACCCAGAAACTGCATACAGCATTGTGGAGAAGGGACCTCCTGCTAATGAGCCACAGGTAGAGTCCAACTGAATTACAACTCCCGTTGCAGAACATAAAAAAAAAATACGTTGATGAAATTTGTAACAAAGGTATCTCATTAATTCAACACTCATATTCATCTTAAAATCTACACAATGATGTGTCAGTGTTGTAGAAATCTAATCTAACTTATTATAAACAGCCCCAACCAAGCTATATCATATTGACTGAGCTTCTGTGTAATGTCTCAGGCCGCAAAGTTCCGAGCGCTGTGGGGAGATCGCTGTGAGCTGCGTAGGTTCCGTGACGGGACGGTGTGCGAGACGGTGGTGTGGCGTGATCCTGATGCTCCTCTCTCATCCCGTCGGCTGGTCACACGTGACATGGTCACGTATCTGCTCATGTCACGACTACAGCTGCGCTCTCAGGACATCACATACCAGGCTGACCAACTGGAGACCCTTGTCACTGAGAAACAGGTGAGATGTAATGTACTTTCTGTGACATGGAATGTTCAACTTTGAACAAATTTGTAAATTTCGCTTGTCGCTAACTGCCTTTCACCATAGACTACAAGTCTGTAAGGTGATCACAGTGAAGTACTGTGATGGTAAAAATCACATTAGCAAACTAGTAGGGATGGGCAGGATTGAGTTTTTGGTTTGAGATAAAACGAGACAGTATTTTTTTATTCCTCATTAAATTTTGAGACGATATCGAGACGGAATTTTCCTTTTTGTTTTCGTATATAACAGGAAATGCACGTTCAACATTTTAACAAAATTTTGTAACGTTGTAAAATACCTAAAAAAAAATTAGGCAAGATTATTAAAAATCTTTTATTTAAAAAACAATAGACAAAAACAAATACAAATATGAATTAGGCCTACCATATTAAAAATAACTCTTACGCATAGGAAACATGGTGATTTCAGTTAAGATATAGTTTAACTTTGAAAAATACTAATTTTATTAGTCTAAAACATCAGTCTAGTATCAAGTTAAGTAACAATTTTTAAGTCTTGTGTTATTTTTTAAATTATTTTGGATCCCCTTGCATGTGAGGTTTGTACCCACTAAACCTGACCAATTGTATTTGGGATCACCAGTGGCACTGCTTCAGTCCAGCAGAGTCAAATTGGATCAGCCGGGTTCAAAATTATTTTCATAACTTTCGTCCCGTCGTATCTAGATTGTGCAGACCGCCAACTTCTCAAAAACAAATTACTACAAACACAAACACTAAAAGTTGTGTACAGTATGTCCCAGAGTCATTTCACTGTGGCGCTGGAGAGGAGGCGTGTGCTGCTGTAGTCAGAGCCTGGGACGCCTTGGCTAAGCAGCTGAGGGAGTTGCCTGAGCTACCACTGGATGTCGCCTCAGTGCAGGGCGTCGCAGCTGCTCTGAGGGCAACCGATGTGTTCCCACCTCTCCCTGGCCACCACAAGCCTCAGTCACTAACAGGAGTGGAGGCTGCTGAGTGCTTCTTGCTGTCTGACACGTTCAGGCAACCTCCACATTACGTGGCTCCCATTGAAGGTTAGATTTTATTATTATTATGAGATAACAAGAGCGTTTACAAAATTCAAGGACATAACACCTGCAGCACCAGCAATGTGATTTATTAGCTCCAATGTAAAGACTGCCCAGCCCATAGGCCTAACAAAGAACTAGTTCCGTACCAGAATAAACGGTCATTGTCTAGATGATGATGAGATGTAAAAAATAATTTCAAAGACAAACCAATAGTCAACCATGTTTCATCACACTCAAAATCTAGTTTCAACAGTTACTTCTCTTCAAAAATGATAAAACACCTGCCTCCAAACTGCAAACTCTCAGAACTTAGAAAATTTGAATTTAGTTACCAATGGTTCACCCACTCCAGAAACTACAAAACCTTAATATAATATAATCCCCACTCCTCACATTTCATAGTAGGCCAGTGTATTTTATGTATATGTGTGTACATTTGTTTTTGAATATAGAAAAGTTAGTAGATTTTGCGAGTATTTAAACCTATTAATACATATGCAACAGTAAGAATACTTTGTTTCTTCAGCTGTGTTGGTAACCCTGACAACAAAGTGTAATAGATTTAACCCTTCCCAGACAGCATATAGTATGTATACAGACAGCAACATTATTTTATTTAAATAAAAACTATTTTTGTATCTATAATTTATAGAATGTTTCAAATAATTAACCTATGCAGCACTTTCGTCCAAAATATTTTTTTTACTTTTTTTTTTAAAACATTTTTTCCAAAAATAAAAAAATTTCTTATTCTTCTAGAAAATCATTTGTAGTACATCAGTTAAAGATATAATTGGATGAAACAAAGTTTTTTTGAAGATTAATGTCGTAATAATCGGCAGATATATCTGCCTACCTTCCAGCACAAAATGTTCGCTATGTACAAAATGCTAGCGGATATATCCGCTTATAGTCCTGTAAGGGTTAATTTCAAATTACAACTGCCATTGCAATTTCTTTAATGGGAAAATGTCTACCTCTGTGATGATTATGCATTTCTTTCTATTTATAGACTTAATAATTTAATTTAACGTTATCCTATATTCTAATACGAGCAGTTTAAGTGTAAGCCTGCTTTCCTGTTAATTTCCCAAACAATTCCTTGCAAATACCCTATTTTTGAACCAGTTTCTTTAGATAGTATTTTTTACTAAAGGTGCAGAAGGAACAAATAGACAGCTAACTTACCCAAGACTTGTTCATGCAGTTAACTACACACAAAAAGTTCACAAGAAAATTTATTTGATATTTCACCACTGCAAGGAGGTTTCTATATAAGGAAAAGATAGAAGGACAGTTATAAGTAGAAATGAATTGGTTGTATATTTTTGTGTATGCTGTCATATCAACTGCTTGGACCTCTTTCTTTTGCAAGTGAGCTGTGTAACCATTCCTTGTGTGCCATCCAATCTTTGTAAGCCTCATTAGTGCTATACTTAGCCTGTCCACCTTAGTCTGGATCTCCCAAATGTTCTTAAAGCATTATTAGTACTGCCTATGTAGAGAATAAATGTTGCTGTCAACAAAACAATTTACAATAAATTATCAGTGTTCTTGAAAGTTGCACAGGCGTTTGTTGTTTGCAGGTGTTGTACAGTTGGGGCTTTCTCGTCAGTGGCCAGAAGACATCGAAGCAATCAGGAGAATCAAGGCTGCGTTTTATATTCAAATTGCCAAAACGATGTTAGAGAAGTATGATGTCCAAACTCAGGCATTCTCAGACTACGTACACATATTTAAGGTACGGACATAAGTTTAATATTGACATAAATTAGCTGAAACAAATTTTTATGTGGGACAACCACTATTAATTTTGAATTCTCTAAAAATAACGTAACTTTTTTATTGATTAAACACTTTTCTTGTGTTATACTAATGCTGCTCAAATACTGTATCTGCAACTCATCAAGTATTTGCAAACTGAACCAAATGAATAATTCTATATTTATATTTCTTGCTATGATAATTTTTGCAGTTAATTGAACATATATAAAGCATTTACCACATGAAAGAAAACCTTCTTGAGGTAAAATGTAAAACAGATGTAAACATCATAAAAACTGTGAAAACAATGTTGTTGGTGCAGGAAGGGTTTGTATTCCGGGTGAGGATTGTGTACCCACGAGAAGTATCTCTCCTGAAGGCGACAACCACTCCAGACGGGAAGCTCTGTTACCGGGATACTCCTGAGTCCCTGGCACTAGAGAGAGATTACTTACATCTACCTAAACTGACTGGAGCACTCCACGGGTGAGGGAATACCACACACATTCCAATCTTATGACATTACTAGTTTACTACACACATTATGTATCCTGTGATACACATTATATTTATATCCAAATCGAAATCTAATTATTTAATTTGTCATGGATTCCTTAGTATTTCTAAGTTTTGATGCTGACAACCTAAGTTATTCCCATGATACCGATAGTGGTATCAGAACAAATAAAGCTTTGCCAAATATCAATCATAGAGATAATCATGATCTGATGTTCTCATAAGTATCACATTTCATTATCCCACTTGTATTGTTATTGAATCCCAAGAAAGTCATCCTAAAAGAGCCTCCCCTGTGCCATAGACTGTAGATGATGTATGATATACTTGGTTGACAGGTTGCAGCAGCAGTTCCTAGCGTATAGTGTGACAGTTAGGCTGGCCAAGAGGTGGCTTTGCTGTCAACTGTTAGATGCCTCTCACGTACCTGAGGTGGTTGTAGAGCTGCTGGTGGCGTCTCTGTTCCTCTCCCCTGAGCCATAGACTGTAGATGATGTATGATATACTTGGTTGACAGGTTGCAGCAGCAGTTCCCAGCGTACAGTGTGACATGTAGGCTGGCCAAGAGGTGGCTCTGCTGTCAACTGTTAGATGCCTCTCACGTACCTGAGGTGGTTGTAGAGCTGCTGGTGGCGTCTCTGTTCCTCTCCCCTGAGCCATAGACTGTAGATGATGTATGATATACTTGGTTGACAGGTTGCAGCAGCAGTTCCCAGCGTACAGTGTGACATGTAGGCTGGCCAAGAGGTGGCTCTGCTGTCAACTGTTAGATGCCTCTCATGTACCTGAGGTGGTTGTAGAGCTGCTGGTGGCGTCTCTGTTCCTCTCCCCTGTGTCATAGACTGTAGATGATGTATGATATACTTGGTTGACAGGTTGCAGCAGCAGTTCCCAGCGTACAGTGTGACATGTAGGCTGGCCAAGAGGTGGCTCTGCTGTCAACTGTTAGATGCCTCTCACGTACCTGAGGTGGTTGTAGAGCTGCTGGTGGCGTCTCTGTTCCTCTCCCCTGAGCCATAGACTGTAGATGATGTATGATATACTTGGTTGACAGGTTGCAGCAGCAGTTCCCAGCGTACAGTGTGACATGTAGGCTGGCCAAGAGGTGGCTCTGCTGTCAACTGTTAGATGCCTCTCACGTACCTGAGGTGGTTGTAGAGCTGCTGGTGGCGTCTCTGTTCCTCTCCCCTGTGTCATAGACTGTAGATGATGTATGATATACTTGGTTGACAGGTTGCAGCAGCAGTTCCCAGCGTACAGTGTGACATGTAGGCTGGCCAAGAGGTGGCTCTGCTGTCAACTGTTAGATGCCTCTCATGTACCTGAGGTGGTTGTAGAGCTGCTGGTGGCGTCTCTGTTCCTCTCCCCTGAGCCATAGACTGTAGATGATGTATGATATACTTGGTTGACAGGTTGCAGCAGCAGTTCCCAGCGTACAGTGTGACATGTAGGCTGGCCAAGAGGTGGCTCTGCTGTCAACTGTTAGATGCCTCTCATGTACCTGAGGTGGTTGTAGAGCTGCTGGTGGCGTCTCTGTTCCTCTCCCCTGTGTCATAGACTGTAGATGATGTATGATATACTTGGTTGACAGGTTGCAGCAGCAGTTCCCAGCGTACAGTGTGACATGTAGGCTGGCCAAGAGGTGGCTCTGCTGTCAACTGTTAGATGCCTCTCATGTACCTGAGGTGGTTGTAGAGCTGCTCGTGGCATCTCTATTCCTCTCCCCTGAGCCGTTCCGAACTCTGACACAACCTCAGCCGATGTTCCTCAGGTTCCTTCACCTCCTGGCCCACACCAACTGGCATCTGGAGCCTGTCATTGTTAACTTCAATGGTGACTTGAAACGTACGTTTACGTTTTGTTCAGATTACTTTGATAGTTTGAAGTTTTTACTAAAAAATTTCTTTTTAGCCTCCTTAGCTTTGTTGAAGGAAAGACTCTAGGTCAGAATCATCATTTTCAGAATAAAGTGACAAGCTAGTTTGCCTTAGAAATAATCTAAGTTGATGATAGTAGGCCTACACAGAGAAGATACACAATATATTGTCCCCTGGGGAACAGTCTTGAGATAATGAGGGTTGCGTGAAGACCTCAACCTCTGTTTTTACCTGTTCAAGTTACAGTAAATATGACATCTAACAGTAACATGATAAGGCGGAAGAACCAGTTTATGGTCTTTAAAAATATTACTAAAATATTTGCTTGTAACTACAATGCATGAGAGTGACAAACATTATCTGTTGAGCAGGTGAGGACCTGGTGGAGATAGAGTCAGTGTTCCGCAGTGACAGGTCGTCTCTGCCGCCCCTGTTCATAGCTACTCAGTATGACCGTGGAGGTTCTGTGTTCACCCGTGACGCCCCCTCACTGCCTGTACTGGCCCGGACAGCAGACCTGGCACGACAGGCTCTCTCTGTCTTGGAGACCCAACTGCTGCAACACACTGCCGAGGAGGAGTACAAGGTGCCTAGAAATAACCAGATAAAACTCATGCTAAGATCCTAAATCCTTCTATATATCTATCTGAAGACATCGGTTACTTGTGTCATAATCTGCATGTTATATTGAATTCCAGATGGCATTCCGCCCTCCCTTAGAGCTGTACGACGCCCTGATAAGACTAAAGCCACTCCAGTGTCCTCGTATGGTTCACTCTCTGGACTACAATGTCAAGGAACCTGTCACTCTGAAGGTGCCTAAGGTCCGCAAGAAGATTCCTGTTGTTGGTTTTGATCCACCTCAGTTATATCTGCAGGAGTTGCGGGTGAGAAAATGATTTATTAGGGCTCAACATACATTCACTTATAACTAATTGAACTAGTAATTACAGATTTCTAAAGGTTTTTGAAAAGAATAGGTACACTTAAACTCCAATCATCTGGATCGCTAATTATCAAGATCATCCAAGGAGAAAAAAAATAGACTAGAAATAGAAAAACAAAGTTCAATGCAGTTTACGGTAATCAGTAACATATTTTTATGTGTGTCAATTGTGTCCATCTTGATGTGAGTGAATTTCGTTGTTCTATCAATCCTTAGACAATTAGTCATCTACCTAATACTACTGTATTACTTTTAGCTTGACAAACCCAACTAAAGTATCCAGATTTTTGAATATCTTGATATGGTTCGGTCCCAATTGGCATATGATTACTCATGCCATTGACTATAAACTTACAGCTATATGGGACAATACTCAAACAAAATAATATACGGCAAGAATGTGGTTATCTGGTTAAATCGATGTGATGGTTAACTAGTCCTCAAATCCTGGGCGGCTCATGCTCTTCAGAGTAAATAAATATATATTCAAAACACACATGTACAAGTTAAAATTTTCACAACATTTTTCATACCCAACACACTGAAATCTCACTAATTCTGGAGGAGTGTGTTATCAAAAGGTTTTACACACCATGAATGCAAGGGGTAGCCCTTAATTATGTTGCTTGAATGATTGTAGTCTAAGATCCCAAATATTATAGTATAATAGTCATAATATTAATTTACAGTAAGATCAAACTAGCAGTTTTTTTAGCTCGGAAATTATTACAATTACAATTTGTTGACACCTCTGCAATTACCGATTTAAAATAAAGTTACATCACCTGTTATCCACTGACCTTACTTACGTTAGTGTTAGTTCCGGAACTTTTACTCTGTTAAATTATGTTGTTTGGTGATTGTAGCCGATTAAAAAAAATAATTTAAGTGTGTTGTCATTTCAGGAAAGCTACAGTGACTATGCTCTTTTCTTCCACGATACTTATGGTGGATCAATGATTGGAGTTCTTTTCAAACCTTCTGTCTTTGAAAAACACGAGTTTAAGGTATAAATATTTGGAATGTCATTGTAATGGCTTAACAGCACTCAGTGGTTTTTAGCTGTTTGTAAAACATATTTTTGATATTATTATTAGGTTTAACATTACTGTTTGCTGATGCGCCTTGAACAACAATCAGACCGATACGTGGTTAAGGATTTTACACTCTGAAAATAATTCTGGATGTAAAATTGCTGTAATTGAAGATTGTTTTCTCTTAATGTTTTCATAAATCAAAATAATTCTTAAGTAGCTTGTTTTGTTTCTCACAAACAAAGCTTGTAATGCTCTTTTTCTTTTTTTTTTTCAGAGGGCTAGGCTTATAAGTAGCCCATGAGATTGTATTGCAGCTGAAACAGCTTATTGTGCACCCTAAATCCCAGGTTCTTAGTGAACCATGAGATCCTTTTGACTATGGTTACCTGTTCTTCCCCTTGATCTCCGGTTGAAAGGCCAAGGGATCTCACACGCAGACCAGGGCTGGGCACATAAATATCAAGTGGAAGACTGTCTCCTCTTATCTTATCTTATCTAACAGGGGCAGGCCGAGACCATAAAGCACTTCATCCGAAAAGTCAAATTATTGCACACCCCAGACAGTTGTTTTATTGCTAGGCCCTACAAAACAGGCTGTATCCTCCACCTCACCACATTTTCTACATAAGAGGGTTTCAACTTGAATTTCCATCTTGCGTAGATGTCCGCGGAATACCCAGTGGCTGCTGATGAAGCCAACCACTTTCCGCATGGTCTTCCTATTCAGCCCATATAGTGATTACTACATTAATATTTTAGTTTATTGTAGTTTGTGACTGTTAAAATTCTTTGCAGGTAAGTCAAGTCAACTGCAGAAAGCCTGTAAAAGAAGACAAGAAGCAGCTGCTTGCCCTCAACTTTGATGCTATCATTGAAGATTTCTACATAATAGGCAAAGGACTTGTGAAATCTATTGAACTCAGCCAAAAGTATTCTCGATAGCCATATCTGTTTTGTCTCTATTTTGTACATTTTATAATTAAATGTATTTTATTAGTTGATTCACATATTGCCTCATAGCTAATTCTTCCAAATTTTAAATTTAGTGAAGTTCAAGGCATAGCCTTTCTATTTTTCCAACAAATATTGATTTTGTTTCATAAACACTATTTTTATTGTAACTACTAACAGGCAGAAGGTAGCCAGCCATTGTTGTGAGAGGAGTTGAGCAAGAAATTATAATACTAGGAGTGTTTTAAGGCCTTTATTGGTGTCAGCAGTTACCAAAACAGATGGTTTTGACGAAGGTGAACTCTTGTATGCCAAGGTGAGACCCCTCGCGGCCGAGGCCCGACTGGCGCACTCCCCCGAAGGCGACCTGCACCGTTGACAACACCGGGTCATTGACTCCCACCATGCCTACGTCCAGGGCCTTGGCCACTCGCCATGCCTGCTGAATGTCCTGGGTAAACATGTATGCTGCCAGACCGTAGGACGTGTTGTGAGCAAGTTTTAAAGCCTCTTCCTCTGTCGTGAATCTTTAAAAGACAAATCGATGAATTTTATAAAACCTTTAACTATTGATAGACATTATTAATCCTTGTAAGTTGTAGGAAGTTTTAGAATGAAAAGTGATGCGGTTGGGTAGAGCCACCCATTATATATATGGGTCTTATGGGTCATAAAAAATACACCATAAATAATGTAATATTATAATTTCATGATCATTAACCTGTTCCAAGGCCACGGCGCTATTGTCAACCTGTCCCACATTCACGGTGCGATCGTCAACATGCCTCGCGGTCACGACCCATTGTGAACATGTCCCGCATTTGCCGCGCAACCCTAAAACGTCTCCTGTAATAACGGAGACATGGTCTTTTCCTCCTGGGTTTGGGGATCCATTACGAATACCTCTCACAATCGCCAAAAATCATCGTTACCGGCTAAACCGGTGGCTTTTCCCGGAGTCGCAGAGATATCATCATCGTCACTTGCAGTTGATGATGATTAGAAAAAATTCTGTGCTGATCTAGTTTTAAATTTGAACATATTTTCCCCATCCATCTCTACATGTGTTATACTTTGAATGTTTGATTAGACCTGCTGACATGTATTGTAAATCCATGTTAGTATAGGGGTTAGCCTGTGGTTGTTGTAGTCTGGAAAATTGTATATTCAAAAACTCACGGCATCACGACGACAACAGGACCGAAGATTTCTTCTGACAACATAGCAGAGCCAGGCTTCACATTTGTGAGTAACGTTGGCTCATAGAACAGAGGCCCCATGTAGCTGGCGGGGCCTCCACCAACATGAACCTTCGCACCTTTGCTGACCGCATCGTCTACGAGCCGCTTGACCTGCGACACAGTTTAGATCTAGTGTGGTTGTGAACACAGCTAACCTTGGTCTTGGTTTAGTTCTTGTTCATCTCTGAACAAACCCCTCATGGCTCTTATTGTGCCTTAAGCCTATCCAACAAAAGGTTGACATTACAAAGTATAGTAACAAGACTAGGGTTTGGACTGTTTCCTTTCAATACACTTTCAAAATGCCAATGGTGTTCAAAACACACAATGAAATGGATAAAAATCTTATACAAATGGATTGAAATATTAGCTTTTGTTATTTTAAAGAAATGGTTACCGGTACTGTGTAAAACAAACAAGTATACAGTTATATCTTTAATACCATTATCACCATCACTAAATGTTGTAACATGTTGGAGAACATATTTTTTCATCCATAATATATCACCAATATGGGCAATATGTGAGTTATTTCCTGAAGTTTACAAATCATTAATGTAGCGCAGCTTGACCCAGATACTATTTGTTTTACTACCAATTAATTATGCTATCTGGATGACATTAAAAAGACCAGGGTGTGGGAAAAAATACAATTGGAGTAAAACGCTAAAAAACTTACAATCCTCCAAACAAATGTAAATTGTTGATAATGTTTACCTTATCAAGCTGATCAGAGTTGATCAGTGGCCCAATGTTGGTGAGAGGAGCAAAGCCACTACCCATGTTAAGTTCATACTTCATCTTCCATGCCAGCTGCTCTACAAACTTGTCAAAAAAGTTGATGTGCACCAAAAACTTGTTTGGGCTCACACAAGCCTGTAAACACATGAAGTCCTCTTATGTGTACTGATCAAAATTCGTTGCCTAATAAATAAATTGACCTCATAAAAAAAGTTATTGCTGTGGTATCCAGATTTTTTTACATTGTTCTTTGTTATGTTATCTGTTCTTGTAACTTTCAAATTATTCTGTTACAAAGATGCCCTTGTAATACATGAACCGATACACGCAGACATCAACATAGTGACAAGTGAACAATAACTAAAGTGTGTGTGTCATGTAAATAGACTAACTAACTAATGTATATTTTCTACAGTTTAGTTTAGTGTTCAAGTGAATGAAGATCCTGAAGATGGCGGAACACCATAGACGAGATGCTTGTGAGTCTCAACCGATTTTTTTAAAATTATTGAACAGAGGAAATCCTCAAAGTAAATATTGACTAGCCGAGTACTGTACCTGTCCACAGTTTCTAAACTTGGCGTAGAGAGCGCAGGAGACAGAATGGTCCAGGTCAGCAGAGGGGAAGACAATGAAGGGACAATCTCCCCCCAACTCTAGGTTCACTCTCTTGACACCAGTGGCACACTGACCATACAGACACTTGCCTACTTCCGTGGATCCTATGCAAATCAAAGATAAAATCATTTCCTTTATTGCCTTACTTTGATCGCATGGATGGTTTACACTGACTGGGACGGGTGGCGTCGTCCTGTAATCCAGCTACTAGGAGGTCACGAATTGTGGATATTTATAGGCATGCACTGTGGATGTGATACTCCCTGGTATGGATTAACATCCGCACGAGTGAGTACTACGACTATCCGCAGTACTATCCTGATAATTAGACCAATTCGTATACACCAAGGAAAAATGTGGTTCGGATTCCACTATAAACTGTAGGTCCCTTAGTTGCCATTATCTGTATGGGCTATTAATTAACAGCTGTGTCTAAGGAATGTCGGCCTTAGTCACTAACAAGATTACAAGATCGCGCCACTCATCCTACACTCATCTCCATTCATACTTGGCTTAAAATACCTACTATCTATGGTCGCCATTTCATTGAACAGTATTTAACAGTACAGTAGACTCCCTCTTATCCGGACACCTTTTAACCGGACATCGGTTTAACTGGACTACACTCGGCGGTAATGACATCTCTTTAACCAGACAAATTTTATCAGCACATCGGTTTAACCGGGCTAGATCGGCAGGAAGTGGGCGGTACTGAAACGACTGTTCTCGTGGAAAAGATTTGAGACCAGTGATCACGTGTCTAAAATTTAGACTCTAAATACAATGCTCCCCTAAATTTAAGTCAATTACTGTATACAGGATGCATTAAAACTGTCCGTTTTAATGAGTTTTTGGGGACGGCTGTTTAACCGGAAAAACCGTTATCCGGACTGGCCTCGGTCCAGAGAAGTCCGGATAAGAGGGAGTCTACTGTATTTTAACAGTACAGTCTAATGTGAATCACACATGTTCAACATTTCTCTGGATCATAACCCACACTTTAAGACGCCTAATTCAAGAGGGACAGGTTTTAATCCACCCAATTTATGAAAAGTTGATGGATTTGAACAGCTTATTTCTTGAGAATTCAAGATTTTTGTACAAAAAATGCCTCTAAGAAAAAAAAAACCGGCTGCAAGTGCAATACCACCAACTCACTTTAAAATGACATGTCTAAAATGAAATGATTAGTATTTTCATTAGAGTTTCCATAGTGTTAAGTAGTGCTCTCAAAGGAAGATGAAGCCGTTTTAGTACGGTGTATCAAACGATACCATCCAATATTATATAAAAAATCTGATATTAAATAACAACTAGGTGAAACCCGTCGAAATCGACGGTTACTTTCAAGGCTTACGTTAATTCGTCTAACTGCGATAAATTGAGTGAAATATACATATTTTGAGCATTTAGCATTGTTTAAAGAGTAATAAGTGTAAAAACAATAATGATATTAATTGCGTTGCCAAATTTGGTTGATCATTCAATGAATAAAATATTCCCCATATCGTACGTCATTGGAGTTATTTAGTATGTTACATTTGTTATTTAAATTAATAAATAACTGGTACTCCAGCCCCATCTTCAAACTCTCTAAAGATATATTAAAGTGTTTTGCTTTGTTGCTATATATATATATAAAAAAAAAAAACAAAAAAAACAAACAATTTGCATAATAATCTCACTAGAATATCAATATAAAAATGTCTGATAAAATCAGCTCATATTAGAAATATTAAAATTTTTCATATAATTGTTCATACTAAAGATTATTGTAATAATTAAAAGGTTATCCAATACTCTAATAGTTACTGGTACATCTAGGAGGTGGAAGTATCATAACCAGTAAATGAAAGCCCGGCCACTGAAGGGTGAGAGCATAGAACTTTACCCACAGCTGCAGAATTTGATTTAGAACTTGTAACAACATTATACACTCCCTTAGGAAAACCTGGAACAAAAGTAAGACAAACAAATTAAAACAATTTTAAGTGCCAATTAATTATGAAATACTCACAGTTGCAAGATATAATGTTTTACTTATTTGCTACAAAAAGCTTTAGACACACTCATTATCGTCTAAACTGATAAAGGTGTTGATACATATATTTCAATTCAAGTTTATAAATTTTTCGTAAAATGAGAAACAAACTTGAACACATTTTCTGAAAGTCTGGCCAGTGCAGCTTGGTACAGGATGGATATCAGTAATTGACACTTGGCTACTTTTTCAGTGGCTTAATGTTAATTTCACTCTAAAACTGGCTACAACTTTGACACGGGATCTCGACTAACCCTTATAGTGAAGGGGTGAACTCACCAGCCTGTTGCAGGGTGGAGGCTGCAGCCAGAGCTGACAAAGGTGCATCCTCGGCTGGTTTAATGACACAGCAACACCCAGCTGCCAGCGCGGCCGCCGTCTTGCGTAGCAGCAGCGCGTATGGAAAATTAAACTG